GTAGTCAAAAGAAGATAAGCACATCTTGACAGCTCTATAAGGGATTTTCCGCCTTCAGTTACTAACCTTTTTGGTTAATTTGTGACTGATTTTTCAAGTAAAACTTATTCTTTTTTATATGTTATTTATTGTTAGATGAATTTAAAAAAAAAAAAAAAAAAAAAAAAAAAAACTCTTTTTACATTTTCGATGTGCAAGTAACCTTTCAAATTGTTTTTCCTAAGAAAAAAAACTTTACTAGTCATAAACCAAAAACAATTAACATTTTAAGTTATTAAAATTGTACGCGAATGTTGCATCAATTTTCAATTAGTTGCTTACAACAGTTGTTTATTTATATTAATTATGCCCGAATCTGTTTTTAAATGTCCGCTTGGAATGCATGAATAATTTGCTTCACAAGCTCGCGGAGACCATTCCATGCACAAAATCATAGGAAATAAGTAAATGATTTAAAAAGATGCACCAAGATGCATGCGTTAAAGCCTTTTAACAGGTGGTAATAGGCTTTGAGCGGACAACTTAATAATGATTCGGTCTTGTTCTTAAGAAAATGCAACGAAATTTTAGCCCAAAAGTCCGATTAGTCGCGATATTCACTGATAGGCAATAATGCGATTTTTCCCTTTTCCTTTTCCCAAATTTTAAATTGCACGTCAGTGTAGTTGTCTTTCCTAATTGTTACATAAATACAAGCAGAGCTTAAAGCTGAAATCAATGTTCGCATGAGAAAAGCTTCAACCTGTCAACAAATATCCCTTATGAGTAGTTTGCCTAAGGAAAAAAAATTTTGTATAACAAATATGCGCAAGCAATTTGGAAAACGTCTGCAAGGACGAGAGAGAATCTTCAGAATAAATCAAATCCATAGAATATTTGCTTAATTAGAATAATTTCTCTGCTACAAGACTGCATCGTATGAATGCATCATAAGGTCATTACTAGCATTACGTTTCATTCTAATGATAATGATAATGCGTGTGTGTCACACGACACGCTACACTGTATTCACATACTATATGGATCACTGGCTAATTCTCAAGCACACGCAACAAATAAGTTTTGCATGAATGTCTGTCTGTCTATGCATACATCTGTGTCGTCGTACATATCCGATTGATACTAACACAATCAAGTAACACAATTTAGACTCTTGAGAGATTCAGGAGGTTATCACAAAAGTCAAGAAGAAAGGCAAAAGGATTATTCGTAAAAACTTTTTTCACTCTATTCACGGATAGGATTTGTTGATAATTAGTTGCAATTATGATAATGCAATTAAAATGCATTTAATTTGCTGCAGTTTTCCAGATGTTTGTAAGTGTGATTGTGTGCGAATCAAATATGATTTCAAACTTAGTCCAAAGATACTTACTTACAAACGGGTTACAAGACAAACTGCGCAAACTATTCGAAATATTGAAAATAAATGAATAAAAAACAAGTGCGCTGTAGCGGCCCACCATTAAATAACTTACATCACTTCGCGCTCAGTACAGGTCACTTATATAACAGTTTTCCAAACAAAATAGTATATGGCAAGTGGTGGAAACGGAAGGGAATGGAAAAAGTGATCCTTAGACCGATACTTGCGACCTGTATTGATTGAGAATACAGAAAGTAAACAAGACGGACAGACAAACTTAATACGACCTTGTACGCAAAACAGGTGTAACATATAATACATAAACCTTTTCTTCTTTTTTTCTATATTTTGAATAAAATTTTTTAATTTAAGCCTAACTCTTCGATCTAAAGAGCGAAAATACTTGTACGCTTCACAGTAAGTCTTATGCAAATTTAGTTTTGTCATCGAGTCTGTTCTGCGTATCCTTTCTTCGCGTCTAAAAAATCCAGGCAAAGATTGATCATATAGCCGTCTGTCATTGGATATTGGATTCAAGCAAATATATAAACATTGAGAAATTGTTGCCGGTCTACAGAACGGATAAATAATAGTTTGGAGGGAAAGTTCTGTCGTATTTTAAATAGGCAGGTAATTTCTTTTTTAAATACAAAAAAAAAAAAAAAAAAAAAAAAAAAAAAAAAAATGTCAAAGATGCTTTAGCATATTTGGTTTCGGGGATCTGAGCCGCCAAGAAAGTGATCGATCTGGACGACCATTCAAGACCGATAATGATGTTTTGCGATCTATGTTGAAAAATAATCCACATTTAACAAATCGATAAATTGCAGAAGAGTTAGGCATTTATCATACAACTGTTGGCGATCACATTAAATCTCTCGGGTTTGTGTTAAAGCAAAGTGTTTGGGTTCCGCATGAATTAACGGAAAATAACTTTTCTGATCGTATAAGAATGTGTTCATCACATCTGATTAGATACAATGTGGAGCCGTTTTTGGTCAATCTAGTTACTGGAGATGAAAAGTGGATTCTTTACGAGAATACTAAGAGAAAAAAATTTTAGTGCAAACCAGAAACATCATCAGCAACATTACCACGAACATCATAGCAAAATTATCGAACAGGAAAAAAATTCAAGTTTTTTGAAAGTGTTTCTACTAAGACAGTTGCTGACCATTTTAACTCCAAGGACGAGAAATTCTACAAAACAGGAATTCACAGGTTAACTGAAAGATGGCAACAACTTGGTAGCAAATAACGGACCATATATAATTGGTTAATATGAAACACGTGGGGGGGACTTAAACCTTCTTTCTTATTACAAATAATTTCGCATTCAAATTATAGGATATAGGGCTTTCTTCGCCCGCAGGCGACTGGAAAGATGTAAATGGAATTGTTTACATTACTGCAATCTCTGGGTAAAGAATTAGAAACTGAATTGCGTGCGCCAGGGGAGTTGTTTATATCTTCTAATGGATGTTGAGTTTTTCCTTAAATATGTGACGCGACAAATGCTCGTTTGTTTCGTCGGCGAGTTATTCATATCAACCTAAACATTAGCAGAAGATATACATTTGTTTTGCTGTGACGTAGCCGGCGTCCAGTGTCCCGCACCTCGCCTGATACTAAGTTTGTGCAAGATGTATGCGATTGCCAGGAGATACTGAAATAGACTCACCTTTTTTAAGCTTGCCTATCCGCCTGTCCGTCTTCTATTCTGACACTCAATAATAAATCAAGTCGGAATTTTTGTACACCATCATGCTTCGATCCAAGGACGAATCAATCTTTCGATGACTTTCCATATAAAGCCTTATTTTGAAAAGTGGTTGCGTCAGTAACTGTAGAGCGATGTAGGATAGTGTATCTACCTACATAGCTTTTTGCCCACTGTTTAACATCTAAGTGTTTGTAACAATAATCACAAAAGGACACAAAAAAGTTTACTAATGTTAAGCTGATACCATCAAAAGCCAGTTGCATCGAAAACTTGAATACTATATATGTATATATATATATGGAAAAAAGGAAGAGAAATGTATTCGGATTTTCAACTAACAATTATATAGACTAAATATATTTATATACATGTATATATACATATGTATATATGTTGGAAAAGAAATGAATTCGGATTTCGGATTACCTAACAATTATATAAACATTTGGATTGATGATGGGAGTAGCAGTAATAATGGAATGCGGAAATATTATAAAATAATTTCTTCGCAAATTGCTTGCACACTTGCGACCATTCGCCAAAGGTTCCGCCAATAGCATTTCTCTTTTCTTTTCTTATTTATATTCCGTGGGCTCTATTTCTGCGAATAATAGATAATAGATATGAATGAGTATAGCGAAGACATTTTCCAACATTTATGGCCTAACTTAAGTAGTAACCTTTGTGACCTTATATTTTTGTCGGTGTCTTTGTTCTTGAATTTAATTTTATATTAAAGTTCATGCATATATCTGGCGCGGTATGCAAATCAAATCGACCGAGAGAATATATAAATTAATTATAAGATAGAGGAGGACAATAATCTTCTTTGATAAACAGATAATAGGCGAAATAGGCTAAAGAAGACATATGGAGATGATATATCTTAGCAAGAATCTAAAAAAAGTTATTAAATAAAGTCGAGATGTGATCTGTTATAAGGTAATCCATTTATATGTGTGTGCTGTAAGCTGTGTTTGCGTGTGTATGTGTGATTCGTAGATTTAACTAATTCTTTTATGCATTTTCTGCATGTATGTATGTATGTATGTATGTATGTATATGTATAACATTTACATTTCTCTCATGGTCAAAAGTAAAACGAAAAGTTACGATACATTTGCGTATGCGTGAGTGTTTGTGTGTATGTGTGGATGCGCGCTTGCATAAAAGATAATTCCTTTAACTTATCCAAGTATTTAAAGTGAGGAGTGACTGACTCCTTTTTTTAAATCAATTTATTAATAGAACAACGGTGTGTGTGTGTGTGTGTGTGTGTATATATATATATGTATATATTATATATCTATGAAAGCGAAAATTGTGGAAACTTAACACACATCATCAGTATGCAGATCCATAAGCAACTGTGTGTAAGCACGAGCAGCATTTCGTAAATTCGCACAATCAATCGGCAAGTGGTCACCGTTGTATCGTTCGCAATAAAAGTCTATGATAAGCAACGCATATGAAACTAACAGTTTATTAAGAGCCGCGTCAACGTTTGGACCGTAAAAAAAGGAAGCAAATTGCATTTTTTTTCTCTTTTTTTTTTTCTGAAAACAAATTCAAATAACCACCAACTTCTTTAAAGCAAAAAATAAATCAAAATATATAAATTGCACTTGACTCGATGGATGGATTAATCGACAAAACTAGTTTTTTATAATACGATTTAATTGACTTAATTAGCGTTACACCAGCTGTTACACCTGCTATTGCTGCTGTTGCTGTTCTTTTGCTTTTTCTATGCCGTTTAGTCAAGATTGAAAATATTTGAAAGTGTGTTTTTTCGCTTATTTAAAACAAAAAAAAAAAAAAAAAAAAAAAAAAACGCCATTTTAAAGAATTTCCACAATTATAAAGAAAAACATAAGCGCAAGCTAATAATAATAATAATAATAACAATTAATATATAATTGTAAACGAAATGTGTTCCCATTTTATTACAATATCTTTGCATGTAATGTTATTTTTAAGTCTCGGTTACGGCTTAAACACAATCGTAAGAACAATTGAATATAATGCCGTCACGGAGAAAATGCAAACATTGAATGAGACAATCGATGGTCCAATATCGCCTCCGCAAAGATCATTATATCAAAATCAACGACGTTTTCTCTTAAGCGCTATTGTTATTGTTTTGGGTGTTGTTGGCAATTTTTTAGCTTTGGTCATTTTGGCGCGCAAAAAAGCCACTAAGCATAGCAAGTATACCTTTATGTTGCGGTAAGTCAACTCAACACATTTAATTCATTCATATATATATATATATATGTATATATATTAATATATATAATTTTTAATAAATTATTGTAAATAAATAAACAAAAAAATAATAATAATAATTAACAAGTTAACAATAATAGAGATAAATAAATTGAGTTAGTACTAAATATTAAGTTAATATGAGTAAAAATTGAATGAAAGAGATTAACGAATTTTGATCTCCTATAATCTCACTATATACTATATAATATACTCGACTATATTGATAAATATATATGTGTATGTATGTAATCGTGAAATGCCAACTACTTTTTTTTTTCTTTTTTTTTTTTTTTAATTAAATAAACTTCAAGGAAACTTCTATCATATACGCTAGAAGTGTAATGAACTCCATCACAAAATTATGCCAATGACTGAATATCTTTCCTAAGCAATGATTATTTATAATTAAATCTATAGCGCACTTAACTAACCATCATTCAAATGAATTATGCATATTATAGGTCTATTAAATTTTTTTTTTTTTTTTCTTTTTTTTGAGCTAAAAGCCAATATTTATTCACAGCGTTCATATTCGATAGACTGTCACTGTCGGTAACTTTATTTCTCTTCCACTTCACTTAACAGCATTTTAAGTCTCAAATCTGACAATTATTATTACAAACTTTTCAATACTAAACAAATCGTAAGTGATTGCCTTGTATCTAAATCTAAGTTAATATCGGTTGGAAAACCGCGAACGAAACCAATCATTACACTAGTACGCTAAATAACATTTCACGATTACAAGATTTTCAAAATATATTTGTACGTTTATGTCGGAAGAAGATCGAACTTGACAGGGGAGCAAATTTTGCCAAAATATCTCGTAAACACCCCGTTGAAGGCAAAAACTGCATGGAAAGCCCATGGACCAGCCCAGTTTTAAAATGTGTCGCTCTTGGTACTGCATAAATGCGCTCAAACTTAATATACTTTGTATCACAAGTTGTATAAAACTAGATATATATATATATATATATATACATATATATATACATAAACATATATTATTATTATTATTTTAATTTTAGACTAAAAAAAGAGACATTGAGCACTAGCAACACAGGCTATCGGCTCATAAACATATATATATATATATATATATGTATATGTATCTTATCTTAAATCAAATGAGAAATTTAGTATCCTTCGTGCCTATCAAAATATATAGTAAAATGCTTCCCCCTTGTTCTCCAAGTTACATAATAGCCGCTATTAGGCATTTTAAAGACCTAATATAAGTGGATAGAACATCACATAGGATAGCATAACATAGTCGCAACTACCAAGACGGTGTTAGCGCATTCGATCTTCAGTAAAGTTTTCCGATGCTTGCGTGTAGCTATAGTGAGTACTCAGCCGTTAAAGGCATTACCGACATTACCGATCGGGCACGCGACTACTAAGCAGCGGCCCTTACTTCCTTACTTCCTACCCCTTTCTTGTTTCCGACTTTTTTGCTGTCCATCACCGTATACACGTAGAAAAAAATGGCAAAATGGATCTCATTTTTCATGGTTCTTAGTCAATATTCGTCCATAACAGTAATTTGGCATGAAAATTAACCGTAGCGAAAACGTATCGCATAGGTGCTATGCCTTATTCCCAATGAAAACTAAGGCTGCATATACTTGTAATAAAAGCGAACTTGTAATCTTCTCTTATGAAAATTCGCCTATGACAGTAATTTGTTATAAAACTTAGCTATAACACCCTAACTTAGCTATTTGCACCGTACTTCACACATGATAACTATCCATCTTTTTATGGCTTTCACTTTTCACATTTTAGGGCTTTGTGGCGAAAGTACATAAAATGAGAAATTTTTTGAGATGAGAATTAATTGTTATAAATTTGAAGCATTTTAAGCTCACTGCCACAGAAGGATTTTCATAGGAAGTGTGCCTTAAAGTATAAAAATAATTTATACAACTTTTGTACATTATTATGAAAACTAATAAATAATTATACTAAGCGGAGGGCTAAAGGATATATAAATTTGTCAGCGGTTTTTTTCATAAAACATTTGTTGAGAAGTGAGACTAGAGGACACTTTAAGCAAATCCAAAAAAAACATATTTGGAAGAGTCTTCGATTCATAGATTGTAGGAGTAAAATGAACTGGATTGAATGTATGACCGAGTACTCGCTGTCTGGCATGAATATATGCCTATTTTGCAATATTTCTCTTTGTTCAACAATTCTTACTAAAGTTCTTCGGTATACAGGACGTTGTTTTTTTTTTTTTTTTTTATTTTCTTGTTCATTTTCCAATCCTTTATAAACTGTACTCACAAGACTTATCTCAAGTCTTATCACGCAGCAGGTTGTATACTTAATTAGTTCAAATATATACATACATATACGCATGTAATGCAATATAAATATAAAATTTCCAAGTATAAGATATGCGATATATTCATTCAATAAATATATCGCTTAAAATAATATTTTAAGTAATAATCTATTTCGCTAGAATACAAATGTGTGCAATTGTTTCGATGACAATAAGCAGTAATCAAAAGAAACATTATCGTCATTCTTCTATTAACTCATTTCAGTTAAAAAATCTCGCTTGAACGAGCGACAAAAACGATTTATATTTTTTAGCAAATATTTGCATAATTTTTATACATATTTACTTTTCTAAATTGTACTTAAGAAAAATTTATTACATTATAATAAAAATTAACGGCGATTCGCCATTACTAAGAAAATTTTCATAGAGCGAAATTTAATAAAAAATTACAGAAACAATTACAATTAATTTAAGTAAAAAAATTCGCTAAACCGTTCAATAAATTTAGCGTTTTTTAAATTCAAGAATTTAGCTAACGCCAAGTATTAGTCTCGGCCATCGTTCCAAGAAATTTGTATTTGTTGTTTTGGCATCGTAAAGGGAGCAGGATCTGTGCAATCTGGTGCAAAACTAGTGCGTCATTCTATCTATTCACAAAATGCCCCGACGGTATTGTTCTCTAAAATGAAGCACTGTTCGATTGATCTTAATGCATAGGCTTCAGCTCGCTCGGCAAATGCCCCACAGCACGTTAGCTCGCTAAACCTAGTATATTATTAAATGACTAAATTTAAATCTTTCACCAATAGTTAAATAGTCTATAAAGCGTTCCTACGCAAAGGCCATCTAAAGTTGTTGAGGATCATTAAACTAAATCTATGAAAAGCACAATACACTTAATCATATCTCGTCTATCGGATATCTATTAAAAGAACGACTGAAAATTGAACTAAATGGATTGGAATATCTTCAAATTAGACATCTTCATGTCCGGAAAGTTATCTTCCGATAAAACTCTATTAACAATACATTATATTATGTAAGAGAAAAAACTTCATGGCATTTATCATCATTCAATTCCATTCCATTAGATACTCTTTATCAAACCGATTATCTGCCCTTTTTTTCTGATTATTCCGTCTATTGAACGCTAATACTATTGAAATTCGGAGCTGACCGTAATGCGTTTCTCTAGCCTATTTTGAAGCCAGCTTCACACAATCAAGATAATTCTGTACAGAATGACCGACCACAAGGTAATCGGACGGACGCAGACAGTTCCAAGTTATAGAGTGAACGGTTCATAACTTCTTGCAATTGTGGATAGAACCATTCAAATTTATGTGAAAATGAATGTTTTTTAATCGCATCGAAGATGTGAACAGTAGAGTTTGAGATTCGTAGCCTCACACGATGCAAGGTTTTTTGAAAAAATCTTGCTTTAACTGGCCGGTATCCGAGTTTTATCACAGTTTGTGCAGTTTAATGTGTGCTACTTCTCACCGACCGATATCAATCAGATGAAAATTCCATGCAGTAAAAGTGTCATCTGATAATTCATATTGTAATCAAATGTTGAACTTCTCTTGGTATCCTGCTTTATGCAAATGATTCAAAACTATGTTGAAGACATCTTCTAATTCCGCACAACTACCATTAGGTGAAATGAGCGAGTTTTCCTAAATTTTTATTGAAAAATTTCATCGATTTCATCAACGATTTGTAATGCGAAGGATGGCGTTTCTTTAATATCGACGTTTCCAGAGGAAAGACGAGTTAACGAGTTCATAAACGCCACGAATTTTTTCACAAGTCCGCGAAGCGTGCTCGCTCCGATCGAAGTGATATTGAAAAAGTAGACCGCATTTTTGCAGAATTTTTCCTCATTTTCAAAACGCATTTAATAACTTTTAACTCAGTAAAAAAAAAAATGTCTGTCCCCTTTATTTATTACGAGGATGCGTTAATTTTGATAGTTTTCTTGACTTGGAAAAGGCGTTTGTTTTGTTTAAAATTGTTACAATGACGATATCATGTCGAAAAAATTTGTATTGGTTTGGCAGCGATCCACCACCCCCACCCACCAATTTTTTTGCACTGCATCAATTTTGCGAAGCCACGTGTCAGCCAAGCTACACTGCACCGATCTGAGGAGGTAGTAATGAGGTGAAAGCCTCCTTCTAGGCTGTTCTTTGTCATTGGCATCGAAATCACTACTACTTACTTAAACCGTTGTGTCTCCAAATTCAATTTAGCCAACCAAGTAACCATCAATCAATGCATAATTGTACGCACACATCCGACAAAAGCGCTTATACAACATTCTAGTTGTTACCCTTGTAAGATAAATTTGAAAGCACAATCGATAATTTGGATGTAATGAAGTAGCGTCACTGTAAGCTTCTGAACGTGTTTAAAATGGGTTTCGGCAGCACATATTTTCAAATCAAACAACAACAAATATTGAATATCATAAATGCAATTTTGAAAGTTCGATGGTTGGCGTCTGCGTACGGTGAATATATCAATAGTGTTGGAAAATGGAAAACCGTTATCTTATATAGAGAAAGATCAACGCCATCGAAATTCAATCGTTATGTACTCGAATATTTACCATTTCTTTATTATTTTTACCCGTTGAAATCAAAACTTTTACAAAAACACCTAAAATCTATCTGGGACGACTACCCATCCGGCCTTTCACATGGACAATAGAATCACATATTATTGAAATTTGGAAAATCGTTAGAAAGGTAGTACGTATCCAAAGTAAATGAATATGAAAATTATTGAATGAAATTTGATCATTTTTCGAACCTTCTTCGCAGATAAATTTTCTTACAAAGGCTTAAGCCTTTACATACAAGACCAGATCTAAGTTTGGCAATTTTGTAGTGAAAGTTATGCCAAACGCTAAACGCCAAAAATTGGATTAGATTCGCTCAGTCTTCTACCATCACCGCTCCAGCCATAAGAGTTTTCATGAAAAGATAATTGCATTTTTTTTGTTTATTTTATATAAAAAAAAAAAAAAAAAAAAAAGAATTGCATTCAAGTAGATTGTGCTGGCGATATTTAATCGATCAATCTTAACCGATAGATATATTTTAACTTGTTCTTTGCTTGTTCTTACCTTACGTATTTTCAGCTGTGAAGTTTGCACTTCAAGCTCTCGACATGACTAAAGTCGCACAAAATTCAAAACTCATTGATATAGTGAATGGAATGTTGTAAGTAGAACAAAAATAATTTTCAGCAATAAATGTAAAAGTATTTGCATTAAAACAAAGAATGTTTGGAATTTCCGAAAAACCATTTGAACGTAACAGAAAACAAAAAAAAAAAACAAAAATAACCACAAATTCTATGTATACATATATTTTCGTATATTTTCTTCCTCAATAAGAGTAAATCAATGCAATTTGTATGCCAACCATTGTTTATTTACTGACTTCATATAATCGCTGATGCATATTAATTCGCATTAATAGGTGTTTAGCGGTAATAATAAATCCCATTAATATTAAATGAAAACATTCGGGATAATAATCAGCGATGCGCACACCTATTTTTTAAATCATCATTGGCTACAGTCTACATCTAAAGAAAACGACGAGTTTTATGCATTTTCTCTAAACCATAATACTTAACGGATGCTGGATGAATTTATATAAATTATTATTAATTATTTTCAAAATATTTGCAGTAAATATATTTAAAAGCAAAAATCAAATATTAAAGAATATTTTCATTTTATATATGTTATAGCACACGATTCCTTCACTTCGATTGATTCAGACCAATGCCTATGACTAATACAGTATTAACAACATATACAAACCTATCATATATTCTCTTATTATTACTAATAATCTTAAAGGAATTGTCTTATATTGAGCTAGATCTAGTACATTGACAGTGAAATGGCCGTAAAGCATTCTTAACCATTCTTCAGCTGAAGTAGGAATTTATAATTGCGGTGATTCTTCCAAACTCTGACAGGTCGGTATATTCCATTTGCATAAAATACATTATTACATCCGCAAGTTTAAAAGGAGCAAGAATCTATCGTTAATCGAGGCGTAACTCTAACTCGTTTTAGACAGATCTAATCGCCCGCCTTCCCTTTTCTCTTTTTCGATTTTTGAAGCTTTCAAAATCAGCAAAATTTATCAAACTGCCAGAGCTAATAATAACTAATACGTGTACTTTACTCAAAATCATTTTCAATTGCCGTCGTCGCCAGGAATGGGCATCTTATGGGGATCTTATATTAGCCTGGCAAGGCTAAAGTAAAAGCCTCTCTACTTTTGATACCCTACAACGCCGGCCTGAGTGGCCGAAGGCGAGGAATCTTGACTAGCAACTCAATGGTCGTGGGTTCGAATCTCAAGTGCGGTAGAGTTTTCAATAAAAGCCGATCGCCTTAGATGCTAGTGCTTTAACAGTTTAGTCTTAAAATTTATTTCTCTGGCGAAATAAATAATAATAATAATAATAATAATAATACCCTACACCATTTGTGATAAAGGGTATATTTACTTAGAGCGGACGTATGTAACAAGCAAAAGGTCTTACGATAGACTCATCTTGTATTATATCGAGCGATTCAGCATCATAATTTGAATTGATCTAACCATGTCTGTCCGTCTGATGTTTGTCCATGTACATTTGTGTTCAAGCTACAGATCGCAATTTTTCATATATTTTGATGAAATTTGGTAGAGTGACATGTTTTGATCCAGAGACGAACGCTATTGAAAATGGTTGAGTTCGGTGCACTTTTTCAACCACTTCCTATATAATGTGCTATTCTGAAGAGTCGTTATAAGAAAGAAAAAAAATTACGATTTTCAAAATTTTTTGACAAAAATGACTAAGTAGTAGTATTTTTGAACCCTCTCTCATATAACGAAAACTGAAGTTCATACGACAAAAAAATATAATTTTCAATGAGTCATGATGCAAATCATATCATAATAGTAATTCACAACATAATAAAATTGATTGCACTAAATTTGAATTATCTCGGCCTAATCTTTGAATCCTATCCTAATAAGGATTTTCACGAAAATTTGGATTTTTTTAGACCAGAAAAATCTAAGTTTTAATATGTGGTGATGAATATTGATCCGTAATGATAATTTCATAAAAAAAATAAGAATTTTGCTAGCGAGTGTGGTGTAGGGAATTTAACGGTCGCCCTTGCCCGACTATATTGTCCTTACTGGTTCTACCTATATTGAGGACATAAACGGCCCAAGCTAAACCAAACTAATTCAAATCACAAATTTATTAAGAACTCTGATGACGAATGATGAGATCCACATAACCCTACATAGCTCCATAGCTTCGACTCAAAGGACATCATTCTTTAAAGCACTGATTTTAAATAATGATTGATACCAATTACGATATATTCTTGATCTCCGCGAATAATTTGTGAAATCGTTTCTTTTGTTCTGCGTGCCATATGTTTAATCAAGCCGTTAAAGCTTTGTTTAAAAATTCAAACTTGGTTTTAAATTCGGAACTTAAAAAAAGGCCGGTTTATAATTTTTTTAATTTTGAGTAAATTGATTTTAAAACACTGCAAAACATATTCTTTAAATCTGTCGATTCTGTCGAATCTGAAATTTTTTCTTAATAAAATCTCCACCAAATTGGGAAATATGTAAATCGGATCTGCGGCTGTTTTGCGATCATCGAAATACCTTGTATATGCAAGATGGAGCCAAGCCGATGAAGGTGACTTTTGTCAATATCTGAAATGTGCTCTCGTACCATACACAAATATCGTATAATTTGAAATATAATATAGGCATGGAGCGATATAGGCGTGTGATATATTGACTGAACAAATGCACAAATTGTACATAGAAGGAAGATATATTGAAAAAATGTCTCCGAATCAAATATAACAAATATAATTTTATAATTTTTTATAATTTTTTAATTTTTTTTTGTTTTTTTTTATTTCTTGCAGTTGTTTATCCACCAACAATTTCATTGGTTTACTGGGCATGCTAAGCACGTTAGTGTTAAAAATTTATTTGCCGCAAGATGTTTTTAAGCAATACATTAAATGGGATTGCGTCGGTAAAGTAATCTGGCGATTTTTTGGTTTAAGTTCCGGTTGTATAGCAGCCGTTATGGCTATTGAACGTTGGATGGCATTGGCCAGACCATTTATCTATCATAAGGTATTTATTTTTTAATAAGCGAATCGTTACATTACAGTTATAAAAATTAATTTTTAGCACATCACATATGAACTGGTGCGTAAAACTATCAAATCGTTGATATTATTGGCGATAATAATAACATTTTTGCCATTCTTTGGTTTCGGAGCTTATGTAGACGATAGCGATCCAACGAATATCAAATGTTTACGTTATCGCGACGCCGACGGTTTTTGGAATAAAACTTATTCAGTATTGTTTATGATGTTCGGTAAGCTATACCATTAAAATTATTCGACTAAAACCTATTACAGACACTTTGTATGAGGCGCCTACAAACGCTCTTCAGAGAGATTATAGGAACATTTATGTGCCCTTCCTGATATTCCTGATAAACAATTGATTCAAGCACATAACGTTACCACACGTTACTGCTTATAAATTTTCCATTTACATCTATTGAAATTTTCCAATTTTTTAGCTGTCGTGACCGTGTTATCAAGCAAGATACGCTAAACTAAAATTTATATTCCATTTTTGTTAGTTTATCTACTAGCGCCAAGACAATTATGACTAACGTAGTCCAGATAAAGAATAAATGCACTTTCTAAGAACTCTAACACGTATTTCCAGGTGATTGACCTTTGAAGAAACATAAAGAAAGTTAAAAAGAGATTGAAAATTAAAGTCTTTGATATATGCAATTTAACTGAATATAGTTATTTGGATATATTAAATTGATGCGGACATACGTGACACTTGGAAGGTTTTCAAATAGACTGATCTTTTATTATATCGATCGGATCATTTTCTGGATCGATTTAAGCTTGTCTGCTGATGTATTATTGCGTTCAACAATTTACAATTTACAAGCATATTTTAAGATATTTTTGATGAAATTTGTTACACTAACGTGCTTTAGCCCAAGACCGATCGTATTGAAAATGGTACGCATCGGTCTACTTTCCGTATAATGCCATATCTTGAACATAATATGGAAAAAAATTGCAATTTTCAAAATTTTTCGACAAAAGTCGCTCAATAAATTGATATGAAAAATCTAATTCGGCTGGAATAATTTTTACAGCCCCCCCCCCGCATGTAACCGTTTCTAAAATAAGTTTCTGAGAAGGTCCGTCTAAGTTTTAATACTTCATAATAAAAATTAATTCGTAAGAGTAAATTGACAAAGAAGTCAACCTTACCGAATTTGGACCACGTAGGCTAATTTTTTGAACACCATCGCAATGTCAGGATATATAAACTTTTATATGCCAAAAATCCCTTTTTTGATGAAAATTTTTTTAAGATACTTAATACAAGTATAAGTACATCACGTAAGTGATCCAAATTTAAACTTTAACATGGATATTTTCCTTGGTCCGCAATCCATAGAAGGTTTACTTTGTATTTTTATGACCCATCTGAACTGTATCAGGCGAAGTTGTGTAGGGTATCTAATGGTCCTTATAATAAATAAAATATTTCAGCGATTCCGATCGTTAAGCAATTGAAAAGCATTAATTTCGCACTAGCTACCTTATTATTCCCCCCCCCCCCCCCCTCGCCATCCCACCCCACATAATTATTTTTCTTGCTTTTTTATGTATGCATAAAAAGTTGTTTGTTGTTTTAATTTTTAAAAATATTTCGCAGGCACGTTGCTTTGTGTAGTTATAGTCGCCTGTAATTTATTTGTTACACGCGTGCTATGTTTTATTGGTCGAAGTCGTACAACCAAACGTTACATGTCCTACGATATGGTAAATCGCAGTGAAAAGAGTTCTACGGTCCATATTGATGGAGAAAGTTCGAGTGGTACATCATTATATCAGCATCATCAACATCCCGATGGTGGTAGTCGTAATGGCACTCAAAATTCACATTATCCTCACACCAATAACGTGACATTAACGGCAGCAGCATCACCTGATGAAATTAAATTTGCCAAATTAATGTTGTTTTTAAGCATTTCATTCGTTATATGCTGGATGCCCCAAATGGTAGGTACAGACAGAGTAAATTATAAAATTCTTATCAATTATTAAACAATTGAAATCCAATCCATGATGTTTTTGCACCCATCCGCATTTATAGAAGTATGCTACTGTTGCTATTGCCTTTGTAATATCTGACGATATGCATTAGTAAGATTTTCGTATTTGATCAGTGTGAGGAACCCCTTTGTCTATCATGTTGTGCTGTTACTTTCAAAGTTCCCAATACCCAGATAAATAATTTGAATTCAGCCGCGTCACAAATCTTATAAAATATATTCAGTAGAATCGCTCAATGATAGATACACGAACGTTACCATAATGTATTGATGGGTTCTTCGCTTTGATACAAACTGATGTGGGGTATTAAAAATTCGGCTTAAGCCGAATATCGCGGCTTCCATCTTGTCTCTTCCCTTGTGTCCCGTTACAATATTTGTATACCAGTTTGCTTTCATTTCTATAACCATCAACGAAGGATGAGGGGCATATTTAGTCTGGCAAAGCATTTGTAACGCCCATAGGGAAGTGTATATATTCTTAATCAATATCAACATCCGAATCTATTTAGACATGTCCATCTGTCCCACTTTTGTAAACATTCTAATAGCCGTAAAAATGAAGTCAATCGAGATCGAATTTGGCAGCAACATTGGAAAATGAGCCAAATCTGTCGAAGGACCTGCCCACAATCCTACGTAAAGTGAGGAGAGATTTCAAAAGGTATCAAGAATCGGCGCTTCCCTCATTACTTACAACCTATAGCAGGTAAATCTGCTAAAATTTGACCGCATATTGGGCTGGCGATACTGTAGAACCTATACTGTAGTGTTCTAATTTTTTTTTTTTTTTTTTTTTTTTAACTTTTATAGCGCATAAAAGCAAGTTCAAAAGCTCCATAAAGTATATAAATTCTTGGCCAGTTTCAAATTCGGAATGTACTTGGAAATGCATGTCTGTCCATATACGAAACTGTGTAATATCTGCGCGAAAATGAAAATCTTGCCTAAAAAATTAACAAAGAAATTTGAGAATGACCCGAACCGATCAAAGGACCCATCTATAAAGCCCAGACGTTTATGTAGTAAAAACTGGGAACATCTTTGCTATCCGTGCTTTTTGCTTGCTAGTCATAAAGCACAACACATAAAATTCAATTTTTATTCTAAAAATAGCCAAAAACCAACCGCGTCCATCCACTATTATAGAGTATGTAAATTTGGTTCTTTTCGGTAATTTTTTTTTTTTTTTTTTTTTAAATCACGCTGATGAGTGCAAAAGATTCGATCACGACTGAATGTAATTTTCTTGCTTAAATAATTTTTAATTTTCTTACACTTTCCTACAGATTGCTATACCGATGGCTATTGTACGGAATCGTGTACCAAAAGCACATCCATTCTTTTTAATAGCGGACATGTTGATGGCTTTGCATTTCACCTCCGATCCCTATGTATATGTATTAAGTCGTACCAAACACTCATATATATTAGGCTGCCTTAAACGTTGGCGTACTGGCTTGAAACGTTCGCAAAGTGATCAAAGTCGCCTACGTACAACCATTGAACAGCATACCTTAGATTGTGGTCTCAATTAAGATTTGAATTCAACGCTTTAAGCATTAATTAGGCCGATTTATATGTACTTATGACGTGTGCACGTATGAAAGAAAGTGCGTAACTATTAAATGAACCTTCGCATATAATGGCTTCTTTCTTTTTTCAATAATTGTTTTCTGCTCCTTTTTTTTTTTTTTTTTTTTGTTTTCTTCTCTTACGCTCATGTGACCTCATTCAATATTAACTAAAATCTAACTCGCATTATTTTCAATATATATATATATATACGGGAATATGAGTGTGTAAATGTGGATTAAATTGTACTTATAACGCGATTAATTACTTTAAATTCTAATGCATTAAAAAATAATTTAAACTATTTTAATGGAATTTGATTTTCAAATAATTATTGATTTATTTTCTATTTTATTTAAAAAGAAAGGTACTTACGTATTAACGCCACCGTAATATATTATTATTAAAAAAAAAATTATTAAAATATTATTATTAATATTATTATTATTATTACATTATATTTAGAAGCCAAAAAAAACTTTTCTTAAAAGTTTAAAAGTTTGCTTTTTATTGGTTTTCTTTTTTGCCGCGGTGGTGTTAATACGTAAGTACCAAAAGAAAAATACCAAAGAAACTAAATTAACACATACTACCAAAATTTCGTTTTAGTATATGTGATGTGTATTCATTTAATATATATATATATATATATATATATATATACACTTTCAGTTAAATGCACATTTGAAAAAGAATAAAATTTGTTCGCGTTCGCATGTAAGATGAAAACTTTTTTGAATTTAAATTATATTTGTGTGATAATATAATATACGAATGTGTTTGTATATATAATATTTATAAAGATATTTTAATATATATTAGTATGTTAAAGTAAATAATAAATAAAATATAGATATACGATATATGTATATGATAAAGAAAGGTATATATATTAAAGAATTTACTGTGGAGAAATGGGCGTGAGGAAAATTTTTCCAACTTCGTTTTTATAGTAATGCAAATATATTCGCAACAGTAGCCGGCTAAAAAGCCGGCGCTCGCGGATTCAAATTGTAGCACGTTCGAGTATATTGCCGTCATAGCTCAAGACATAACATTTACCGATTAGAATACACACATACTACTAGGCTGTGGCCACCACCTAATTGCTTTCCCCCTCCTCATTTCTGTGTGACCGTCACCGTTTTACGCGGATATGAGACGTCCCGTCCCTTGAGTAATTAGTAATATGAAAACAAACGAATAAAATAATAAGTAAGTATATTGCATGCGACCGTGACCAAATTTTTTTTTGTATCCATCACTAGTATCCTAAAAAGAACAGAATAAGTAAAAGAACTACATTTTCATGCTGTGTAATAAAGAGTGGGCGTGGCTGGTTTTTTCTGTTTTCAAAGTAAAAGTTATTGTCCTTGGAAAAGTTTAACTCGCTTTCATATTCTCTTATGTTCGCTAACGGGAGCACGTTTTCCAAAAAAAAACCAAAAAGTTGGGCACGCGAGATATGCTTAGGTGAATTCCAAAATTAAACCTGACCCAGAAACTATAATTTACGACTAATAAGTAAAAAACCAATTTTTTATTCCTTTTTAAAAAGCGACTAGCACCATAGGTGTCCTTTCCAATACCAATCTGCGTGCAAGAACTTCCAAGGCTTCTGAAAGATCTCAAATCGATAGCTTTACTTTCACAGACAGACAGAAGATTGTTTACAACAGACGCGTAGACGGACATACGGACACACTTCAATCGATTCAAAAAATGTCTCTGAAGAGTGGGCTTATCTCTAAGCCTGCTTAATATTAATTATATGCATATAAATTTAATATATCCTATTCAAGAATATAATGACCTTGAAACTTTCACTTTCTCCACAAGTTTCACTTTTACTTACCTATTTATAAAAGCAACGAACAACAAAACCAATAACCTCCCGCCACTTACGAAATCCACCCTAAATATCGGCCAAAGCTTTCACACTCTTCTCCAGAATTGCAATGGAACGCCGGCATGGCTAGAGCAAGTATATTCGATGGCATAGGTGATATCATTCTAATTACACCGTCGGAGTACAAAGCCAAAAATCCTTGAGCACAAGCCTGCGATCGAATATCAGTTAATCTCGCTGGCGAGAAAAAGATAACTTAAAAATGTTCATCGCGCGTATGGGTCGAATATAAATTTATCTTGTTTCCGAGGAAAACCTTAAAAATTTTTATCGCGTCTCTAAGACGTTTAACCCTTTGGCCTACACAATATTTGCCGATTTGCACGAGCCATAGTAAACGAGAAGATCAGTCGAGCGCCGTGCCCTGCATCTGTCGGGCCAGCTGGCGCAACAGCGTCTATGCTTTATAAGATTTGCATATATCGGTGAACCAAAAGGAATTGATTGTGAAATAATAAATCATATTTGGAAGCACAAATTACTACGAGCCAGACTCGTGCTTTTCTCTTGTGACACAATTTCTTTACCGCGAGTTAGACTTGTGTGGTATAGGCCCAAAGGGTTAATCGTAAAATGTCAGCGAATCGCATTTATTGTGCGCCACACATTCCGAAGCATATCTGGGAAAATGACGGCGGAAAATAATCTCTTGTGAAAAACGCTTTAACCATACGTCTCAATCTATCGGAAGTAGCGATCAAATCAAAGCTGCCAATCACCACCGATCAACATGCAGCGTTATATACGCTCCCTGATAATAGCTTTGCCGAGATAGCATCAATTTTTATGAAGATAATAATAAACAAAGATCTCCAGCCCTCCCTCCCGGCAGCTTGCGAGATTATAAAATGAAATAAAAAACTCTTGAATTATTTTTATATTTATTTGTATTATTTAATATTATAAGTTATGTCGTCTATTAAATTAATGCATTCTTACAGAGCAACAACACGAAAATTGTTAGTTTTGTTTGGTTTTGTGTCTGTCATTAATTGATTAATTCTTTTTTTTTTTTTTTTTTTTTGTTTTATAAATTATCCATTAATGTGAAGTAATTAAATATGCTTTGTATGATATATATATATATATATATATATATGCATGCTTGTGGATGCATGCTGTATATACATATATATGTATATATGTGTGTAATGTACATACTGTATGTATACAAAATGCCCAAAGACTTACTGTCATAGTCCATGATCCAATTTCAAATAGCGCATTATGCTTCGCTGCTCGTACTCTTTTAAATTGTTGTTGTAATTTTGTTTACTTAAAAAATGTTATGCTGCATTCTAGATATGCATATATAAGGGGGCAAGGAATGGATGATGAGTTTTAAAAATGAATAAACGAATGAATGAACGAATGAAAGGAATACAATATTATGTTTACTATATGATTATGTATGTGTGTGTATGTAGTATGTAGTAAGGTGTGCTTTTATGTCTGTTTAGGTAATTACGTTCCTTTAATAAAAAAAAAAAAAAAAAAAAAAAAACCAAGAAAAAAATTAAAGAGAAAGAAATTATAAAATTGTATTTTAATGAATGTTTCATTTTAATTGATGATTGATGTTGACGGGACGCATATATCAAGTATTTAATAACGATTATAACGACCACGTCCACGATTTCGCGGCGTGCCCTTGACATTGCCAGCACGCGTGTTGGCAGGTGCTGGTTTCTTCGTTGCCGAATTATCAGTAGCTGGTGTAACTGATGCTGGTGCAGCAGCTGCAGCCACTTTAACTGGCGTTTTAACCGGTTCCGGCTTTGGTGGTTCCTTAACTGGTTCTGGTTCCGGTTCAGGCTGTGGTTCTGGCTCTGGTTCCTTTTGGGGTTCTGGCTCAGGTTCAACCTCTTGCTCCTGTTCTTCTTCTTGAGCTTCCATCTCTTCGCCATTTTCTTCCGCATCAACAATCTCGTCACCTTCAGCACCTTCGCCATTTTCAACCATTTCAACATCCTCATCATCGCCGGTAGCCTCGGATGGATCATATAATTCGCCTTCGCCACCTTCCTCTCCTTCACCCTCTCCATCACCTTCAACCTCACCTTCGCCTTCGCCATCAACATTATCGCCGTCACCATTTGCAGCCTCAGCTTCTTCCAACTTGCGCTTCTTGCGTTCGTTTTCTTCGATAGCAGCAGCTGCGCGCTTCTGAGCAATCTTAGTGTCGCTTGCTTTTTCATTAATGAATTTCAAAAAGTTGCGATGATGAGTAACAGTGCGTGAATGGACTTCTACAGTCTTTTCAGTATCAAAGAACTTGCCGCACAAAGAGCATTCGTAGCACTCAAGTTTCGTAATAAGATTGACTCCAACTGGGCGGCTCCAGTTATATTTCGGCAAGCGATTATCAACTTCAGTCGGTATTTCGTCGCCCTCTTTATAATCAAGAATGCAATCGTCGGGGTCCACAGGCAAAGCTACTTCCTCCTCTTCCTCTTGAGTTTCATTCAAATCATCACCTTCTTTAGTTTCATCAACATCTTCGTCATTTTCCTTCTTTACCTCGACCTCGGCATCTTCACCTTCGGCGCCCTCCTCGCCCTCTTTCTTAACATCAGTACCATCACCTTCCTTTTTAATAGGAATCCGCTTTCTCCTCTTTTGGGGAGGGCGTACATCTTTCAATTCCTCCTCTTCAGTTAGAATTGGTAAAGTCTGGCGTTTACGTTCGCCAACCTTGGTATTCTTTTCAGCTGCCTTTCTCAAATGTTCGGCCGATAACAAATGCGAATCGTAATCGATACGTGTAGCGAATTCCTTATTGCACTCAATACATTTAGGATGCAAAAATTTCTTTAACTGCAAGTGACCCTCCGACTTTCGATGAGCCGAAATATGACCGTGAAAGTTCAAATCGCACATGGTGCAATAATCCAATTGCCGTTGCTTGCTTTTGCCCATGCGCTTCAAGCGATCTAATTCAATCGATTTCAATTGTTCGGCAATTTTAGCCTCCTGCCGTATCATATTTGCCTTTAAGCGGTAACTTTCCTCGATACCCTCACGCATCATCAGATGCGTACGACCTTTGATATGGTTTTCGAAAGAATTTGCATCCCACATATGTTTCTTACACAGATGGCAATAGAACATATCGTTCGGTACATTGGCGTAAGGAGACTCCTTGCTGCGCATTTATGTATATATGTATTGTATTGTATGGGATTTATATATTTTGTTGGTGGATAGAATAAATGTATGAACGGAATAGAAAAGAAATGCAAGAAAACCGTTAGATATATTTTTAAAAAGATAAGCACATAAAAAAAAAAATAAAAAGATTGATTCTTCTTAATTATACTTTCCTTTTATGAAGTTTTCTTTTCTTTTTTTTTTAGTTTAACTTTTTTTTTTTCTTTTTCATTTTTCTTTTTAATGTAAATTAATGTTTGAAATATTGGTTTGCAAGGGGGAATATTTTAAAAATGTTATTACCATAAAACCTAAAGGATTACCCCTACTAAGTAGTACCACAAAGCAACAAATTCTGATTGACAAGCTCGATTAGCAAGGCAAGCGTAGTAAAAGTAGAAACGATGGCCGGCCGGCCGGCCCAGCACAACATACAACTGTCTACGGAATAGAATGGTTTTAACAGCACAGATTTTTTTTTTATTTCCTAGAGATTTACATTTCTAAATGTGTTGTTATTCTTGTTGTTGTTGTTGTTGTTGTTGAATCTATATTTTAATCGTGAAAGTGATGGTCACAATAATGTACTAATATCATCTGCTGTACATTTGCATTCACTGTTCTGATGCATTCGATGAAGTAGTCGCATGCATTATTTATAAGTACATTTGATTTTCTGTTTAATACTATATATAAAAGTTGAATATTTAAATGAGTGGTAAGTGGTAAGTGGTAAGTGGTGAGTGGTGCGCGGTGCGGTGCGGTGCAGTTTCGCAAATACAACCATTCAAAAACAATGATAACATTCAACGGATAGATAAATAGATGGATGGATACGAGTCACTAATGTTTAAACGAGTCGTGAAAAGGCTCAGAGGGTAAAATTTTCTTAACTATTAAATTTCCTATCTACTCCTAGCTGCATATAGATTAGCTGATGAAATTGGTGACACCACCACTCTTTGCCGGCCGATCGATCTCTCTCGTTTTATCTAGAAAAATAAAAGAAGCAATGTTTAGCTTGTACGATCGGATCATAGATGAACGATCGTTATGTTAGCAATGGCATTTTGCTTACAAACTTCATGTTAATTAAACGCATGTTGCTTTGTTTGGCGGTAATCGTATTAAATAAAAAGCGCCGTTAAGGAATGATATAAAACTACCTCCTACATAAATAGGCATTTATAGCAATTTCTCAAGGAACGAATGCAAAGGTTTTCTCAGTTAAACAAAACATTTTTTTTTTGTTCTTCTAAACATTATTTCAAACACGTATTACTCTTATAGGAAATCAATACAACTATTATTATATTTCTATACCCATCACCATCATCGCAAACTGATAGCATGCGCATTATTGCCCCTATATAATTATATAGGTCATAAATTTGGAGTTTCTTAGCCGCCAGTCGATTCACACCCTTGAAATTAGATCATTTTTAAGGTCACTTCGATTACTTTTGAAAATAATTCTAAAATTCTAAAGTTCAGGCGTCCGCCCGGGTGGATCCTTCATATGAAAATTGGAAAAATTTGCATTGACGCCAATTTACAACGACCACAATAAATCGACTAAAGATATTAAAAACTCTCCCTTTTTCGCTGTTCAAAGCCACGTAAATATTCCCATCATGTCAATTGATTTGTTTACGTGAGTCAATCGGAGAACAATCGCATGTTGAAAAAGAAGCCTTTTAAGAAAACTTTCTTTCGGCATACTGCGATGCTGAGGAGAGCCAGGCAAGAAAATATACCCCCTGTAGACACGAGTATTGGTTGCGATCTGAATCTGTGAAACTATATTCTATTCCATCGATTGGATTCAATTTTTATGTGGTTTGATCGTTGGGTAAAATTGACTTTTTTAACGGACAAAGTGTGAATCATTTTTTAGTTCAGCATAATAAATAGAAAATACTGATGTAGTAAAGCGGGCTTGAAAACACCTTCCGAGACGAGACATGATTCGAGTATGAAGTGATGAACACAACAACAAATGCAAGTCGGTAAAAAAAAATCAGACCAGAAAAGTTAATACACTGGGGGACTGTGCCGATCGAAGGGACACAAGCTGGTCGCTCTCTTCAAAGCTTATTATACAACTCATGGCTGTCTCCGATGATGCTCCGCGTGCTATACTCATTGCACTGATGGGTATAAAAATATTACAAATGATAGATAAAATATAAATAATCGGTTAAAAACGAATTCACTTTTCATCTTAATTCGAATATTTTTTAAAAATCGTTAACAATGTAAAGATACTGAAAAATTGAATTAAATAAAAATTTTTATCTATACTGAAAATTTAGAACGAATCAGAGAACCTGTTTAATTAGAATTACCCCTTCAAAAAACAAACCAATCAGCAAACAATTCATGAAATGTATAAAAGTTATTTATTTACAACAGCGCTACCAACATTGATTTGTTTTCTTAGCAAAAAAAAAAAAAAAAAAAAAAAAAAAAAAAAAAAAAAAACATATATATACATATACATATATATATATATTCAAAAAAAAAAAAAAAAAAGTCAAATTGGAAACAAAATAAAATAAAAATTCTCAATATATAATAAACAAACGAAAAAGTGTATAAAGGAAAGAAAGAAAGAGAAAAAAAAAAAAAAAAAAAAATAGGAAAACCAAAAAAAGAAAAATACATTATTCTGAATGAAGAACTTAAATCTCAGGAGCTCACATACAAGCAAACGTTTGCGCGCCACACCTCTAGAAGAACGCAAATCCCCTTTGCGGGGTTGATATAGGTAGTAGAGGTATATAGGTAGTTAAATAGGTGGTAATGTAATAAGAATAAAACTTTTTCTTCTTCTAACACATCGTGTACTTGAAATAAATTGAAATTATATGAAATACAACATATCATCTCATTACTTATCTAATATATATAATATATATATATATATATATTACTTCGATACTATAGTTATTATTTATTATTAAAGTAGGTGGAAAGAAAAATTAATATTGAATTGAAATTTTTGGTATACTGAAAATTGAATTGGTTTGAAGTTTTTAATTGGCTTACCTCTCAGCTTTCTTATCGCCAGAAGCGGAATCCTTCTTTTTACTATTGTTGGCATTTTTAGCCAAAAGCTTTTTAGCACGATCGAAGGCATTCTGTTTGCGAATGCCGCCACCAGCGCCCGATTTTTGGGCTGATTTAGCCCCCCCACCAGCACGATTTGAATTGAAGCTTCCTTGTGCGCGACGATTGTTAAGGCGATTGCCAGGACCACCACCACGATTGACCATCTTCTCATACGAAATTACATATATTACATATATATTTTTAAAATATGTTTCAACGTTTTTCAACAACAGATTTGCGAATAAGAATTTTAAGAAAAGTGTACATTTTTGTTTTATTGATTGATTTTGTTTTTATTAATAATTATTGATTGGTTGTTGTTGTAATATGAATTTTTATACACAATTTTTGACGAACGACGACGTGAACACAGCATTGCATATTAGCATTATTTCATTGTAAGGAGAATTTTTCAAATTGTTTGTTTTATATTACATTTTGTGATTTCATCGACAAACAGTAAATTATACGTTTGAAGAGTGGTGGTAGATAGGTGGTATTCGTTTCACATATAAATGTAATCGGCAGATAATTTTTCACATTTTTTTGTGTATATATAGATTTGTTTTGTTTTTTGCAAAGTCATAATAATTAAGTAGTGGTCAAATCGTATTGAACGGTGGTTTTCGAAAGACAATCATCATCAAAAGTGGTTAAAGTTTTGAAAAATTTGAGGTTATGATAATATAGTAGGTATGGCGTGTGGCAGAAAGTTTTCGAAATTTGTACATTTTACAAATTTTTTTCCAAATTTTAATATATTTTCGATTGTTTTTTTTGCGTTTTTTTTTGCGTTATTTATTTTATATATATTTTATTTTTGTCATTATATTGTATTTTGATTTGAGAAACAAAAAAAAAAAAACGTTGAGATATTAAACCGTAGAGAAGAAACCCAATTATCATTAGGCACAAGCAAGCAGTCAATCATTGAATGAACGAAGAAGTTGTCATTTATGAAGTAGCAATCAATCGATCAATCAATCAATCAAACAAATCAACGTGTGATTGAGCACATAATTCGGTTGCATGTAGTAGCGATTTGTGGTGGTAATTAATTCAGTAGTAGTAGTTGTTGCACACCAGTTGACACCAGCACAGGATTTATTGTTTATTATAAGAATCGTCACAGATTCAATATTGTTCGTATATATTGTATATATGCATAGTACAGGCATTGCACGTATATATGCGTACGTATTATTATGCATTCGTGCGTGGTTGTTTTCAGGTTTTTATTTTGTGCGTTCACAAATACAAAAACCAAACATTGATATCAATCAATCAATCAATCAATATATCGTGTGCATACGGTTTTGGATTTGAAATTGTTGTTTGGCAAAGTAGTTTGAGCACAGTCACCCGCACCACCATCGCACACAAATATGTTGTGTTTTTTGTTTTCGATTTTATTTATTTATTTTTTTTTGCATTGTTTTATTTTTGGTGTTTTTAGAAGTTTTCATATAAAAAGCATGTACATACATAGATGAGACGGATGGTGATGGCAACAACAACAATAAAAATACAACAACGATAATAACAACCAGAGGCATTTTTCGAATGCATTGTACGCATGTGTGGACATCATGGCCACATATTGCAAGTTGATGACGGTTGTTATTGACATGAAAGGTAGACCAGTGCACACAAATCCAGAAAGTAACCCACACATACACATAACGTTTGCGGTTACAAACAATAGTGTTGTGTTTTTTTTTTACATTTTTTTGGTGTTTTAGTTTGGGCAGAAGATTTATTTATTGCAAATGTTTTATATAACATTTGATTTGCAACAGACAAATTTTTTGGTTTTTGATTTTTGAAAAATTGGAAAAGAGAGAGAGAGAATAAAATAAAAACAATTTTTAATTAGAAATTTTCATGTCTGGGAGAAACTATTCAGAAATAAAATGTTTTCTTGTTCTAAATATCGCAAATAGAGTAAAAAGATTCTAAATGACTAGAAGATATGCATAATTACACACAAGTTGAAAAAAAATAGATCAAATTTTTTTGCTTGACTTTCCTACTTTTATCTTATAAAAAAAAAAAAAAAGATTTTTTTTTTTGTAATACCTCTTACACGCTATTTGAGAAAATCATAAAAACGCATTTGTACAAATTTAAAAACCACACCTAAAAAAGGACTTGGTTTCATCTGTACAATAAATATAAATCAATTTTATAGCAGAAAGGAAAATTAAAAAGTAATCGAAATTAAGAGAATAGTTACCCATCCCTAAATAAATATATAATAAAATATTAAATTAAATTAAGCTACAGTATCAAGTTGATGTTAACTGTCGAAAATCTTTTGTCGATGAATAGTGATCTTTGGGTTAGTTTTTCAAGTTGTCTCGTTTTTTCTCAACAATGGATTTATTTGTACTTTTTCATAAAGCATTTCCATCATCAGGTTTGTTTGATTCTGCAAAATTGCTTATCAACATCCAAAATATTTTCATTTCTTACTGTCGATGGAGTAAAAATGGTATTTAAGAATAGCAAAAAATTATTGAATGTATGCATATGAAGTTGTATTAATAGAAAGCCAATGCCAAGACTGGTTTACAAAATTGCTTTCCGACAATTTCGATATTGAAGATGTACTACATTCTAGAGATCGATAAAAGGTGATGAAGACAAAATAAAGGGTTTAATTGAGGCAAACCGACGATTAACATCACGAAGAGATTACATTTATCGAACCGTCAATAATAATATATTTCTACACTAGAAAAAATGAGTGTTTCATTTTGACACTCACAAAAAAAGGGCACAAAAGGACTTTCCGAACACCCCAATACACACGCAATTTGATTTGTTTGGAAAATTTGTTGAAATTGTTTGGCCTGTAAATTTAAGCTTTTGTCGAATGTCAAACAACCCTCATCCAACATCATATATTTTTGGAAAAAATCGCAAAATCTCTGAAATACTTGCTCTATAAACAGCTTGATGGAATAAAAAGTATGAAAGAATTTCCTTCTCGTTACATTTATTAGAAACAGGTGCTTTCTCTAAATTCAAACCCATAGCTAATGTCATTCGGAGGAAAACAAACTTCCTAAAAGGACATTTTTATTACATCCACAGTGAAAAATCTTCGACAAGTTATACATATGCTTATTACTGTAAAGCAACCTAGCTTTTATTTTATAAATTAAGTTTACGAAAAAAAAGATTAAAAAAATGAAAACATATTTAAACGAAAACACAAATAAATACTTATGTATTAAATATAAAATAAAACTAAGAACATATAGATAAAAATATTTTGTACTTACCGGACCGCCGCGTTGACCACGGTTTCCCATGTTACCGCCGCGTGGCAAATCTAACAACGAGGGCGGATTTTGATTGCGGAATAAATTATTCAGCAGATTATTAGCCAAATTAATAGCTTGGGCATTCATTTGACCACCACCGCCTTGTCTCATGTTAGCTCCTCCAAAATTCGCTCCAGGATTTTGACCTTCCCATGGTGACATATTCATATTGCCACCCATGCCGCCACGATTAGTATTGCCCATTGGCCCACCATAGTTATTGCCGAAACTACGGTTACGGTTTTGATTACGAAAAGCCATTTTATTTATATTCAAACACTGCAAATATTAAAAAATTTGTAAAATTTCTGACTGAAACTAATGTTTGCGGTGCAAAGATGTTTGCCTATTTGTTTTAGAAATTATAGAACTTTCACATTTCGTTAAATTGTAATTGTAAACTCCAGGAATATTTACAAACGGTATTTCTTAAATTTTAAACATTTCTTCTCAATAAAAAAAATGCAGACAACTTACTTCAAATGTGAGGAATTCAGAATGAAAATTATATTTTGTATGTACACTAAAATCTACACAACTCTGGGCTTTACTTTTGTGAAAATAAATAAAAGTTCTAAAACAAACGAGTAAATAGCATACATGCTTTCGAAAGCAGCAAAGATATAAACAGCGAATTGTTTTCTAACAGGCTTACGAAAAAATGCATCACTGCGCATACGATACAATATATATGAAATTTCACATTTAACAAAAAATGTCCAATACGAAATGAAACCATAGTTTAAAATATCTAAAATCAAAACATACTTCAAAGCCGTAGTATTTATACGAGTCAAGGACGATTTATGCACCTTTGTTCAGAAATATTAAAATGATGTGAAATGATTTGCCGAACGAAGTAAATATCTCGGATTGGTAAACTTAAAACCAAGGCATGTATGCACGTATGCTTACTCAGTTTTGACGCCACCCAAATACTGCTACGTTTTTAAATATGTTTAGATTTACACTTGCAATGAAAACTCATGAAAAGTAGTAGCCGGTTTTTCGTTGTTGCGAGATTGATGGTTCATTTCTAATTTCTTATCCTACAGAGGCATACGATTTATATGGAACATTTCAGTGAAATTGATGAGCAAAATTGCGCTCCTTTAGCTATGACATGTTAGGTCCCTTTCTCATATTATGTAGTTTTAGAACTAATATACAGGCAACATACCTTGCTATTACGAAACAAAAATGTTCTTTATAGTTATGGTTGACAGATTATTTTAAGTAGACTTAATTGTCACGAAAAACAGAAGAAGAAACAGATTCTAAGAATCACTTTCATATGGATGTTTTTTTGCTTTTAACTCTCACACTATAAAAAGCTTTATCTGTAACCATGGCAAAAGAGAAACGTGGTGCTCATGAATAAAACTAGCGACACTTGGAAAAAAAAACAAAATGGCGCAAATATACATACACAAAATTTTAGATATATATTTTACTGACGCATACCGCACATTCAGAACCGGCCTACTAAAATCAATTAATTTAGGAAAGGAAAAGCCCGTGGTTGAAACATGAAGAAAATCCCAAGGATTTCACTGAAACTATTTAAATAGAATGCCCGCTTACCACATGCATAACTGTACCTCTTAAGAAAGTCTTTATATTACATATGCATGTAAAAAAACATATTTTAGAAATGCTAAAATCAAACGAATTGACGCATACATACAAATGAGCTACGACTAAGGTTTTCATTAATTTACTTAAAAGAAAAAAAATGGAGAATAACTAATTTAAGAAATGCGCATTTTTTTATGAAATTTATTTATTAATACTTTTACGTACCTTTTGCTTATTTTTTTAATCACGCTTTATATTATTTTAATCAAATGTCTATAACACTGTTTTATATTACTTCTCAAGTGTAGCAATTTTCTGCAAAAATACTTTTTTTTTGTTAAGGGAAAAGAAGAACTACAGACAGCGCAGCAACACAATCTCACTCAACGAACAAATATTGATTGACTCGTGAAAAAATTTTTCACTTTGCTTGGTTGTTCTCTCTCGACGAAAACTAAGAGCAAAAGACAGAGTTGTTTCACCTTATCAATGCGTGTGCATTTGAAATTTCTTGCAGAGATGACATATGAGTTTGGTATGGCGTTTGACTTAATGTCCATTGAAGGATACCTTAACTTTTTTCCGCATGTCAGTGCTATCAGGTATTGTTTTTTTTTTTTTTTTGTTGACTAACTCTCATTTTAACAAACAATGTGATACAATCAATAAGAAAATCATACAAAATTATATTTTTGATGAAGTGAAATGAACTAAAATTATATAAATCATATAAATTCCTTATCAGTCATATTGCTTTGACAGATATGAGCGTTTCTCGTAACTTTTCTGCATACGTAAAACAAAAAAAAACTTTAAGCTCAAAAATGACATTTACTTGACGTCATTCATAATCTGTGTCCACATTTTCCTCATATTATGAAATATCAAAATGGTATTTTCATTGAAAAGACAAAATTGATAAATTATGTGCATCGCTTCGACAGCATTGAGAATTCTAGATTATCCAATAGACTGAAGAATTTGGATTATATAAGTTTTCATTTTTTCAAATGCATCCAAAATATTAAGGTGATTAAGATTATTTTCATAGATAACATACCCATTTATAAATTTCATTTATATACCTATTTTATTATCTATCATTGAATAGATAATGTAATTTCAAGTGAAAATATTTGGTGAATGCAAACGGCGCGAACGCTCCAATAGCAGTTGTGCGCTGCTACTTTGTTAAAATGTTTATTAATCGAAATAGTAGTCGAAACAGAATAGTGTGTAATAGAAAGTACAAAAAGTATCGAAATAATCGGAATTAGTGACATCGCCAACAAAGTAGAAACATAATTTTTTAATTTCTGTGTGAGGTTTTATGTGGTTTCGTATAAAATCTCGGAGAAGGTTTTAAATATAATAAGGAATTATGAACACTCAGTTTCATATACCCTCGTTTGGTGATGAAGTTTTCGACTTGACTGATGTTGGGTCCAACTCCAGTGCTGTTACCAATGCAAATGGAATATTATCTGCTAATACCAATTATTCGTACATGTACCCACAACAGACCGAACAGCTGCCATCCCAAGGATTACAGGTTAATGTTTATTATTAATTTTATTGAAATCGTGTATGGTTAAAGGCAAAATGTTGCCCGTTTTACTTTAGAATAAAAAAATAACCGAAGTCAATAACATATCGGACGAATATTACAGTGCCAATGATGATACATGCGTTTCTAGTACCACAGTGGCTAATCATAATAGTTCCAATACTCAACATTATAACTCACCCAATAACATAATAACTTCAACAGCTACTACCAGCGCAACAGCAACGCGAAAACAAGTACAATCTTCTGCTATCATCAATAATGGCAATGCCAGTGATCCCAATGAACCGACTAAACCTGTATCTGCATATGCTTTATTCTTTCGAGACACGGTAAGCGCCATAAAACATGAGAACCCGAATTGTCCTTTTCAGGAGTTGTCACGTATTGTGGCTTCAATGTGGGATGTTTTAGATCCCGTTCATAAGAATGTTTATAACAAACGCAACGAGATAGCTCGTAATGAATACATAAAACAAATCAGAATTTATAGACAACAACAATTAGAGCAACAACAAACAATGAAAGCGCGGCAGCAGCAACAAGAACAGACGCAGATGCTGGTTAGCAACGAATTAAAATACAGCCCTCAACAAATTCAAGGCACTTCAACATCATTTCCAATTAATGCGAATGCACATGAAACCCACGTTAACGGACAACAACACCAGCAACATCATTCATCCGTCCAACAGCAACAATCGACTCAGTACGGTAATAATACAACCGCGACAACGGAGATATCATCGCAACAGCAATGGTCACCAATCAAAATCGCAAACGTTATAATATCTAATTCTACAAATGTTGCATCTAATACAGCGGCGATTACTTCTACAACACCTGGTCCTCTTGATAAACAGACGCTTAACGAAGACAGTGCTATGCAAAAGTGCACTCGGGAAAATTGCAACAAACGCGCTATCATCAATCCTGATTGGGAGGACGAATATTGCAGTAACGAATGTGTCGTCATACACTGTCGTAATGTATTCAATGCTTGGGTGCAATCGAAAAATAAATAAAATCCACTAAATAAATAAACATTGCTTTATAACTATGTATTTTATTATATATAATAAGTTTCTTAATTGGCTGTATTTTTTTTTTTTTTTTGTTTATTTATCATAAATAAAGCAAATATATATTTTACTTAAAAATATAGAAAAAGAAAATTTATCAAATATCTCTCTTTTTTGCTTTCCTTCTTCTTTGTGGTAATACGTTTGTTTAAAATTCAAAAGGTCATGTTAAGAATAATTTAAAATATATTTTATTATAATAAACAGCTTAACAGGCATAGAAAAATACACAGTAATAATAATATTTAAAAAAAAAAAAAAAAAAGGAATCAATAAATCAGTAGGCGTTGGAAGCCTGAGATGTTTGTTTTTATATTTTTCATAATTGCTTTAAATAAATATAAATAAACATGCGTAAGTAAACACAAATACAGAATAGTCATATATATCATAGCGAACTTAGCATTAAAAAAAGAAAATAATAATAATAAAAATAGCACGCAAGACAAGCAACTAAATAAAGCTTAGAAGACAAGTGTTTGTTTATAAATGAGAAGAATGAGAAAAAAAAATTTTTTTTAATTAAATGCATACATAGATTATGATTATTTAGCAAAAATATATAGTTTAGAAAAATATTCTTGTGTATGTTCAAGTTTTTTTTTTTTTTATTTTTTTTATTTTTTTGTTCAATTCAATCATTTTCTCAGTGCGGGCGAATTTTGTTGCTTGAGAGAGGGACAGAGAAAGAGAGAGAGTGAGAGAGAGAGAGAGAGAGAGGAAGCGGTCTGGAAGCGGCAATGATCATAATGGTGACGATGACAGTAGTTATAGAAGAGTTTGAAACCCGAAGGCAACTAATTTAATTTATATAACGTCTACACAAAGCAAATGCTATTATAAATGTTTAAAATTCTGTATTAATTCTCAAGACAATACATTTAATTTAAAATTATTCCTTTTAACATTACTTATAATAACGCATGTATCTAGTTAACTATGCATTATCGTATGTATTTATGTATGTATATACGTATGTATGCATGTATGTATTTATGTATGGTATGCAGATTTAACAAACACATATAAACTCTAAGTAAACCATTTGAATGTTATATTAAGTGATTGAAATTTTTTTTTTTTTTTTTTTTTTTTGTTCATCATTTTTCTTTAACAACTAAATATTTTCACAATATCACCGCGAAACAATTTTAGGTAACTTGGGGATCTTTATGTATGAATACGTTGTAAATGTGTGCAGTTGTATGAATTACTTGTGTATGTTAAAGTAAATCTACACTTTATAGCTTCTATTTTCGTATGTTTGTTTGTTTTTTATTTTTGATTTTTCGTTATATATATTTATCGCTTTACATTTCGTTTGCTCAAAAAACGGGAGGGGGAGGGAAGAGGGGGCGGGCAGGCTATTTATTATTGGGTAATATAGACTTCATAATATGTAAGTTTAATTGTGCTTTTGTTTTATAATTATATAAGTAATTTTTTTCCATTAGTTGCTTGCCGTCACTTTAAATGATTACATTGTTATTAATAAATGAATTAAAACGATTACAAATAAATTTTCCTTTTTTTTTTTTCTTTGCGGAGTGGAAGCAACTAATTATTGACTAGAGTTGCTTTGTTGAGTTTATCATTATTAACTCAATATTTTCATTATTTTTTTTTTTTCGCTCTTACATATTACGCGCGTTATTTAATATAAGGCAGCAGCGTTTTAGTGTCTCATCTAAAGAAACGAAAAACAAAAAAATCTTGTTTTATAAGTATTAATAAATTTATACAAAAATGCATAGGATTAGCTTCTTTGCCGATTTTTCTTCCATTTAGCAAAGTTACTTTTAGAGTATGTGTATGTGTGAATTCTTTTTCATGTATACGTTCATTAAGAAGGTAACAGTAGCTTTTTTATAATTAAAATTTCCTTTGCAAATATATATTTTATAAAAAAAACAAAAAAAAGGAAGAAGATATTATTGGGTCAAAAGTGGGTTAAAAAAATGTGATTGTCGGTTTACAACACCACAAAATCCAAATAGCTCATGAACAAAATCTCCCTTTTTTTAAAAAAAATTATCATTTGTTTGTGATTTGCATAGAAACGGACATCTTGCTGGGCAGTCTATAATGAGTTTTGACCAGGGGCATAGATATTACGCTAATCATGTTTTTAACCTTTTTAAATTTATTCAATTGAATGTAAATGCAGTTTGTTGCTAAATTAAGAACGAATTGCATAAAATGTCCGAACATCAACTTAATGAGTCATGAATTCGTTTGTCGAATAATTCAACTGCATGCTGGAATGGTCGCTGTTAGGCTTTCTCATGCGTCGCCAAAGAAAACTAAATCAAAGACTTTTAATAACCATTTTATTTTAGTTACATAACAAGCAAGAACATTATAATTGGACAGTGCCACCTTTAAATACTCTACACCATATTATGTAACACAATTTTGATTTTTACATTAAATTGCTATTATGGGTCGTCAATTTTCATCACCATATAATAAAATTTAGATTTTCTGCTCTACAAAGGATCAATTTTTATGAATATCATTATACAGGGCAGAATCCAAAGAATAGGCCGACATGGTCCAAATTTGCTTTCAATTATTTTTTTATTTTAAATTATTGTTATAATATGATTTTCATCATGCAGCATTGAAAATTATGCGTTTTTATCGTATGAAGTTCAGTTTTCGTTGTATTAGAAGGAGTTCAACAATTGCCAGAGCCGATCCAAAGTTCTCATACCAATTTAGAATATCGAAATGCTGCTATTTGGCGATTTTTCCCCATATAATGATTTTTCAGAATAGTGCGTTATAAGAGGAGTAATCAAAAAAATGGACCGATCTGAAGCATTTTCAGTAGTATTCATCCTTAAGTCAAAACATGCGAGTGTACCAAATTGCATCAAAATATATCAAAAACTGCGACCTGCAGCTTGAACACAAATATGCATGGACAAACATTAGTCGAACAAAGACACAGACAGGCATAGATCAATTCAGATTATGATTCTGAATTGATCGGTATAATAAGAGATGGATCTATTTTAAGCCCTTCTACGTGTTGCATACGTCCGCATTAACTTAATATATCCCACATCACAAGTGGTGTAGGGTATAATTAAATATATAGAAATATGCATTGGTTGCTGGTGTTGATAAGTTCAACTCATCAATATCAGTTTCCACAATCGGTTAAAGCAGACATTGCTTGATCGTTTTAGAAGAATACAAAATTTGGGAAGCGCTGCAGTAACTGCATATTTATTAAAGTATGATCAAAGCGGAAGAAATGAATTAAAGAATAGTACTGTTTTTATATGATATAATAAGGAATGGTTGTTCGCTTCATACAAACTATTTAATTCACTGTATGAGATCTTAACTTAATTATTTAAGTATGACTAAGCTATTAGGAAAACGAGCTTTGTGTTCGTTTCATTTGAAATAAAAGTTTATTCTCAATAAATCTTTTTTCTTTTTGGTTTGTAAAATTAGAATGGATAAGGACTGTAGGGATTGAAAGGGCTATAGACCAGCACTGTCAAATGTAGAAAAAATTTTCTGATGATCCCTTTTGTTAAGCGGCAAAGATGTACCGGTAGTCAGTGCAGTACAGTATTGGCAAATGCCAGCTTAGGCTGCTTATTTATGTAATAAAGATAGTAGGAGAAAAAGAGTTAAAAGGAAAGAAAGGCAGTCAGCTGCTTCAGATGCGTATAATTGTTGGCACGAAAAATTCCATATAAGTTATTGCATATGTTAAAGTAGGAGAAAGGTTGTCTAAAGATGTTGACATTTCTACATTCAAAAATTAGATGTTCAGCTAAATTTACAGTGTTGCATTCATCACAGATATCAGATGAGATCTTGTCTTGATCATTTTTAAGTAGACGTTATCATATGTGTTCTTGCTCATGCGTGTGTTGAATGTTTTACTTTCTCATATCGTAAGTTTGCCTTCCAGGAGGGGCTCAAAGGATAAGAAAGGTTGAATCTTATAAAAAAGACGACCAGTTTTTCCCCGGACGATTTCATGATATCCATTCTTCCATTCTTGAATGCTGTTTTTTCCAAATTAGACAGAGAGCATCACTGGAATGGAAAGGATTGTACCACCAAATTGAACTTCACGCGCGCGCATATCAGCCTTTTCATTTAAACTGAAACTGCAGTGGCCTGGTACACAGATCTAGTGGCATTCTTTAAGGAGGCGATCATTTAAAATATCATAGATTTTCAAAATATACATGTTATATGGATCTTTGTTTTTGATTAACGAATTTTTTTTATTTTGTTGGATTTGGCAAAAATCATAGCCTATCTGACAGCAAGCAGCTCAATAAAGGTGAAAAATACTTTTTGCAAGACTTTGAATTTGCCTAGGTGTATCTGTGGATATCTGACTAACGTAAAGCTGGATGTCCCAGAATTTGCTGAACCGACTATGGCGTATATTACGAAGTCATTTCCTAGGTAGAAGTTTAATTTTTGCAAACATGCAACTCGAAGACTTGAACGAGTGAAATTCCTTTTGGAATTAACTATAGACTTGAGTGTATTCAGATTGATTTTGCATTTGGAATGAGTCGAATTCCAAACGGGGATGATGTTGACTTTGTTGAATATGTGACTAAATTTCTGATAGCAGTTTGTGTAGCTGTTACAGACATCATCACATTTGGAGATTCCCCTTCCGAAAAAGGAAGATCTAAAGATAAATCTTTTTATACTCAAAGGACGGCCCATGGATGTGTGAATCATGGATGAGATTTAAGTTAACTGCTAAGACGTATGTAACACGCAGAAGAGCTTAAGATAGATCCATTTTTTATTATACAGCTCGGTTCACAATCATAATTTGAATTGATCTAAGTATGTCTGTCCGTCTTGTATCTGTCCATGCATATTTGTGTTCAAGCTATAGGTCGTAATTTTTCTTATATTTTGATGAAATTTACTACAACGACATGCTGTGGTTAAATGAAGAACGCTCTTGAAAATGGTTCGGATCGGATCACTTTTTGGATCATTCCCCATGTAACGCCTTATTTTTAGAAGCAGTCCTACGTGAGCAACTCTACTAAGCAAAGTGATATAGAGTATTTAATGGTCGCCCATGGAACACTATAATGCTTTTACATCTTTCAAATTTAAATTTCAGTAAATCTTGATCTAAACTTTTTGGCATTTATTACCTGAACTAAAAGTAAAATCATAAACATGATCCAATTATTCTTGAAATTAATTAATAACAGAAAATTATTAAATCCAGAGTTTGTCGGTAATATATATATATATATATATATATATATATATATATGTATATATAGGCAAGGGTAATGTGGGATGAAGGAAGATTTTCTAAGCTCACCTCTTTAGTGAAAGAAATTTTTACTGCTGCATATTTTTGCTTCGGCGACTGTCGTTCGTTTATTCGATAATTTGCAATTCATTTATATCTGCTACGTCAGCCGTTTCCTTGCAAAACGTACTTGAGCGTTCCAATTTCGATTCGATCATAGATGGGTGTTGACCGTCGTCGACATTGGTGTGCTTATCATTCACAACATTTGCAGCGTTCGTTGAACTTTTAATGAGTAATTCAATTTTTTGTTTAACAGCCTGGGCGGTCTGGTAGGGTTCTTGATGAAAGGTGTGTTGTGTGTTACGCGCAATAATTTTATTATTTTCGGCTTTCTGCGTAGAAGTTGTTACTAATCCGTTGGTTTTTTTTAGATGTAAAGTGTTTGGTCTTCGTGTTGGAATATTAGAGGCTAAAAAGTTACGAGCTACTGAATTTGTTGTTAGTACCGAGTTGTGCGAGGCTGAACGCATTACCGATCCTACTGCCGGAATCGGTTTTGTTATAGGCTTTTCGTCAATTTGTTCATTTGTCCTCCGTTTAAGTAATTCTTGTTGCTTGTTTTTTTCAGCACGTTTGGCTAAAATTTCCCGCGATTTAGCTGATAAAAAACTATGTTTGGTTGTCAGCGGTTCATTATTACCCGGTACAGAAACAGAACGTTTGTAAACACCTCGACCTGATTGTGTAGAACTAATCGACGACAGCCGACTAGTGGCCGATTTAGTGGTAGTTACGGATGAAGGGCTCGAACCAGTCGATGTAATCTTTTGTTGCAAGTACTTTGTCGGCTTTGCGCCCAAACTTGTGGGTCTTATGGGTTTCGTACCATTGACAATCCTAGGTTTTTGCGCTTGACCATTCGTGGTTGTTTGATTTATTTCGTTTCTTGTTGCTTTAAGTTTTGCCAATCGGTTGGTAGTTAATGATTCATGAGAAGTGGTTTTATTTGTTATCACCGAACTTTTAAGACTTTCAGCAAGTGAATCTACACATATGTCTGAATAGCGTTCATTATCGGAAGACTTACAGGCTTTGCTTTGTGCAGCACGACCTGTAGCTGAAGCTAAGCTATCCAAAGACATATTAGTAATGGATTTAATGCCAGCTACTTTATTCCCAGTGTGTTTACGAGTTGCTGGGCTCGAATGTCGTGAAGTTTCACTGGAGGAATGCTGATAGGATTGCTTTTTAGTGGCTGCCGGTATCGAAGAACTTGTGCTGCTTCTGACAGGCCCATTGTGTGCTCTTTTGGGTTCCAAATATCGCGGTCTGATTTCGGAAAGCTTAACGGGTTGGGATTTATTCTTAGGCATATTCACAAGTTTCTTTGGTTCAGAATTTTTGTTAGTCGTATTCGTAGTAGCTGCTGGTGCCTCCGATTTAGTTCTTCGATGATTTTTTATACTTATATTCATACCGTTCCGATCTGAAGTGACCGTGCTCTGAGAGATGGCACGATAATGCTGAGGTACGTGGGCTCGAGAATTGGACTTTAGCACTCGACCTTAAAATAGAAACAAAAATTGGATACACACACACACACACACACATACACACACACAAGAATTAGATTATTTTAGTTATTATTTTAGTCATAGTTTCATTTCATGCGGACCACTTATGAGTGGATTATATCATAAGAACACAGAATACTACTAAATGTATATGTTCCAAGTTAGAATTTTGTTTTTCAATTTTGCTATAAGAATTCAAAAAAAGATTGTAGGCGAATAGATAGACGGACTTGGCAAATCGATTTACATATGCTTTATGAGATTCGAAGTTTGTGCATTCGTTTGTTACATGTGGAATGATAACATTAGTAGATTATTGTAAAAATATGTGTAAATATAAAATAATTATTTTTGCAACTATACCTTCCCTCATATCGTGATTGGCTTGCACTCCTCTTTCAGTTGTTTGTACCGATTCTAATGTTTGCGTGGCTTTATACATTTGTGTCTCCTGGGCCACAGATTTTTTTGAATGTGCTTGTATAGCCAATTTGACTTGATGCAAGTTTTGACTGCGAGTGCTGCCTCCGAAAGAAAATGCTTTAGAGACGCCCTTATTGCGTTTGATATCCAACGGCTCAGTAAGACGCGCTAAAGTTTGAATTTTCTTACGTAAATCCAAATCCATCCTTTGCCAAGCCGTAACTCTCATAGCACGTGAACATTGTCTGATGAGGCATTGTTCTACAGCGGACAGTAGGGAGCTTACCAAACGAATATATTCAGCATCCCATTCTAACTCTTCTTCATGCAAGCCTTGCAATTCCTTTGCCAGCTCACCCAAACTAGCAGGCATTTGAATGACTTTGGCTTGTAGAACGGTATTTAAGCGGGTGATGCGTTGATAAGTTCGACATGCTTGGTCTGGAGTTAAAGATGATGCCGTTCTCAAGAGAACTCCTTCCAATCGTGGAATATGGCAGCTGCGATCATGCCCTAATGATAGGAACGAATCACTCGCTATAAGGCTGGCAAAGTGATCTGCCATGTAAGCGTAAGCGGCATCCAAAATATCACGTACCAAATTTTCACAAAGTGCACCCCAGCGATACGAAGCCAATTGCCCAAGGACATTGTCGCAATCCAAAACGGTGTCCAAAACCGTTTCAGAAGACTAGATTTGTTAGTGATGAACAGTAAATTTAAAATGTTAAGTGAAAAAGTCGATCTTACTCACCAAGTAAGCTACAATTTGTTGACGACATCTCGCTAATATGTCAGGTGGTAGTTGAGCAAATTGTCGAGTAGGCCAAACTTTCAAGTAATGTCGGCATGTCCATCTCAGACATTTACGGTACAAATCGTCTAAAGCGTGATTCAAGGCTACAGGTAACACTTGCAATATTCCATCTATACAGCCTGAGCATGGCTTATGAAAATTGTGACAGTAATTGGTTTTCAAAGCATGTGAGGTCACCTCTTTTAAACCCTCCAAACCCAATAGATCAGCTAATGCAGCTAATTCCATAAGACTGATGCCGTCGGGAGGATGCGAAGCGCCTGAGTAAATGTGACAGAGAGCAAAGTGAACCGCAGAATAAGAATATCCTTGTAGAGAAACCACACCAGTTGTTTGATTTCCGGCTAACATAGCTGCAAAGTATTGGCAACGTGAACGTAAAATGCATTTGTGTGCTTTGATACGTCTTCCATGCACCTCCACAATCATATCAGTGGCTATTTCTTGGAGGAACATTTTGAGCAAATCTTCGCCTAAACGTCTTGGTTGCCGGCAGGATAAAGATGACTCATCCATGCCCGAACGACTTATACTGGAGGCTAAACTAGAATCAGCGCTGAGATCGGTTTGAAGATAGTCCATGTTGTCAAGCGCCATATCGTTAGGTAAAGAGTTAGAAATTTCTTTGGAAAAATTAGGAAAAAGTCTTGACAAACTACGCATATTTTCTACTGAACTAGTTATATTTAAGAAACTATTTCCTATAGAACGTGACATGGTCCACGAATGAGGTCGGGCTCTGTTATCATCTTTGTACAAACGATTAATTTGTCTGTGATTACCTACGCTAGTACTCATACGGTCAGGAGACTTAATTTCCAATTTCAATGGTTTATCCATATCAGAGAGTTTAACAAAGTTTGATTTTTCCGCCTCGGCATGTTCATTGACAGTCTCCAATAACATCTTTTGTTTTTCAATGGTGGCGTGTAAAGTTTCCAATGAGAGACCAGAGAGATTTTTCTTAGGTGAACTTGTCTCCTTGGCTTCTATAATGGTCTCCATAATAATATTAGACATGCGGCTGGAAGAAGAATTAACTGTGGAAACGGGAAGCTGAGAATTAGAGGAAGTTTGCTGTTGCGTTGGCTGTTGTTGTTGCAAAGCAGCTGTTTCTCTAATTGCTTGCTCTTCCTCTTGCTGAAAAGTCAAATCGTCGGTGTCGGTGGCAGACATAGGTGAAATGTCTTTCGATAGAATGCCATCGGTTATTGAAGCCAAACTGCTTTTATCAAATGTTTCATTAATTTGAACATCCCGACGGCGCTTTTTAACGCGGTTCGCTGGCGCAGTCCCGGCTATCCCAACTGCTTCTCCCTCTTCACGTTCTCCTCCAGAACTGGTACTTAGTTCTGACTTAGAACCGGTGTATTCATCATAAGGCGACAAAGAACTATCCACTGACAGCGATGAAGCTTTCGAAATAATTGGTATTTTATCAATAATACTCATCAGACCTTTACTATTAATACCGTTTTCTTTACTTTTGACGGTATCACCGTTATTTGTAAGACTTATAGAGCGTTTACATTCGACGTTTCCCAAATCTTTGCTAGGATTATTACTCCAAGAATGCCTTTTATTGGCCTCATTTTGGTTTCTTTGCTGTTGGCTTATTCTTCTTATGGCTGCCACTGTAATCGGTGCTTCTGCGTTAATTTTATAATCTAAGGATTTGCTTTCAGCCGCAATATTAGACTCGACCTCCATTGAGTTCTTAAAATTGTTACTTTTAGACATTAGAGTCTCCGTTGAACTAGCGCTAGATTTCATTGCTTCCTCGCACTTTCGATGGCCTGTTAACTTTTGAGCTAAATTAAATGCTTCTTGGCGCCCATTCATGCGCAGCTTCTTATCACCATTTCCAATGTCAATAAACATGCTATACGAAGTTTTCTGTGAATTACTACAAGAATTTTGATCTTGTTTAGGTAATTTCAGCTTTGTTTCCTCTAATGTGCGATCTTTCGGTTTGTATTCGCTAGTTGAAAGGTTAACAAAAAATTTTGTTGATGTTGGTGCATTGTAAGATTTACTCATTTGTGCCGTTATATTGTTTTGTTTAAGCGATCGCTGGTCTACATTTTCGTCTTCATGTGGCTTCTTGTTCATCTCGTTGAGGGAAACGTAAAAACCGCAGCCACTTTTATGAGAGCTGTTCGAATCGGAACGTTCGCGAACTTTTGACTGCGAAGCTTCCAAACTAGATGTAGAACTAGTGCTTCTGCGTCGTTCGGAGCGTTGACAGTCGCTCATGTCCACCACCCAAGAGGCAATACCGCTTAAAGGTTTCCGAAGTTTTGGCTTGACGCGCATTTCTACTTCTTCTTCAGCGCAGTCATCGATCAACGGTCGAGTGGACTCAAAATCCAATGAAACAAAACCTCCAGATACTATAGGGCAAGCGTCGGTTTTTCTTCGAACAGTTGGACTTTCGCATTGCTTGACGTGAAAATCGCTTATGCATGCACCACCAGATATGATCGGATTTGCTTCATCGAATTTTGTACGTTTGGGTGTGCGAGGCATAGGTACTGGAGAATCAGTGGCATCACTGCAATAAGCTCCGGAATCGCGATGGTGAGAAAATGAAGACGACAGTGTACAGTCTCTATGTATAGATGAAGTGTTGCTGGACGTTAGTTCTATATGAACAATGGAATTATGAGGAGTATCAGGTTGTAAAGAACATGTCTTCTTCTGTTGTACTTCGTAATCTTCGCCAAGCCCCAAGCGTTGATGACTGCCAGACCGGTGCTCATGTTCAGACCACACCAAACTGGGAGCTGGACTAGAAGAAGAATAATCTGTGGTATAACTGAGATCGTTATGATGAGTTGCATTGGGAGGGTTAGCTAAAGACGGTGGCGGCTGATTACTGTGTATAAGTTTTGACGCTAATGACGGTAACCCACTGAAGTGTGGAGATGCTTGAAAGCTGAAAGGGATCTTTCGTTCTTGTTCGCGACGCAGACGAACCATATCAGAAGAGTCAGAGGAGTCCAAATCGTGAGCCAATGACACCGAAGGTTCTGTAACCTCATCATTGGCAAGTAACTGATTATCTCTGAGAACAGGTTGTTTAAGAAGGGATTTTCCCTCATCTATCAATTCCCTTGTGTTTTGTGAGTATGCAGCATGATCCCTTTTCCACAATTTTTCTTCATCTGATAAATTACTAGCCGAATCACCACCGGAATTATTACGATTTTTGGATGATTCACCCTCTTCTGAACTGCAGCTTGAACTTGATTTCGGGCGTACTTCTTCTTTCGGTGTGAGCATATCTTCTTTGGCTGATTTTACTTTGCATCGAGCAAAAGATTTATGGAATGTTTCTAATTGCTTAGTCGGCGAATTTAAGTCACCGTTGGCATTACCTGTTGCCTTTTGCTGAATTTTAAACTGTTCTATTTGAGAATGATTTTTTTTGCTAGAGAAAGGTAAAATTTCATCTTCATCACAAAGCGACGAAGCGTCAATAAAACAATTGCTAGTCTGCGAGTTTGTTAAAGGATTGTCACCCTTTGTTTCAATTAATAATTCACGATTTAAACAATTTGAACTGTGACCCTTACAAAGTGAACTAGTATCTGCAGTCACAGGGGCTCCCGCCGAATATGTACGTTCTCTGTTTAGGGGTTCTAAGTCGGGTTCCGTGAGTAAATTGGTCCCACTAGATGTGGGCTCTTCATGGAATCTGTCAGATGCGTCCAATTTGCCTGCGACAGTAAGCAGTGGCTCTTTTTGCAGAAAACCTACACAAAAATTACTTAAGTCCATATTATGAGGATCCATTGAAGGCATTTGACTAACGGAATTCGCAGTGGCTGTGGTAACGCTAGCATTAGCATGAGGAAAAACCGATTCCCAAGAACCAGTCTCAGAAGAGATCGATGACGTTTCTAGTATAACAATCTCTTCATTTTGTCTTTGTTTCTCCTCTTTTGAAGGTGTCGGATGCATGTTATTGACAAGACTTGAAGAGAGTTTTAACTTTAATGGTGGTAACAAACCATCCAATTGTTTATTATCTTTATTCGGTACCAAGGCGGTGGTAGTGTTGTTTGCGGTGGAAGAAGAGCAGGCATCACCATTACAATTGTTTAAAATATTGTCGGGATCACTGGAGCTGTCATTACTACTAACTGGGGAAAATGTATCGCGCTCTTCGTCACCTAAATTTACTTCACATGTCTTGGTAGACGATCCACTTCCCTTACGACTTAATAAATCTAAGCCATGCAATGGCCGGCGTATATCTTCACTGTATTGGGGGGCCGATGATGTCGTGGACGATGAACTACTGGTGGTACAAGTATCTGGTGAGACGGGAGTTGTTAAATTCGATTGATCCATAATAATAAGTCTCTCTCGCTGCTTAAATGCAGTTAAAACGTGTTGTCAACTGCCAATGAGCTATTAAATGGTCGCTTTCTGGTTTCGAGTGTGTATATGCTGTTCAGTTTTATTGTCAACGGACGGTCACGTTTTTTCTAGACTTAACAATACAACAAATGTCACGCTTTAAGTACTTGTCGTGCTCAGTTGGACGTTGACGGCGTAAGTAATGCTTAAAATTCTGGCGCTTTTGTCGCTTTTTGAAACTCTTTTAAAGCAATTTCTTGTTTTTTTTTTTTTTTTTTTAAGAAAACTTCCTTTTTCTTCTTCCTTGAGGTTAAAAACAAGTGAACAGTAGCTAAAGCTTTTGTTATTGTTTTTTATGAAGAGCTATTCCTACACATTTACCGACAACGCTATTGTTCTGCCTTTTGAGGAATAGGCTTTGAGAGACAATATCAAATACATGTATATAGAGTTTAATTGTGATGATGACGACGATGATGAGTTTATTTAGCCATTGTTATCTTCACATAGCAAGCTTAGTATGTGTCTTGCAATGTGCATGCTTGCCGGTCCAATTGCTCGAGTGTCTTCTTGCTGTTCAGCGTTTTTACTGACAACATTCGCAATGACTGACATTCACCGACAACGTCACCGCCACTACTTCCTCTTAAGGCTCGAAGGTAACAGAACAATAACCTATACTGTCAGTTCCAGTGTTATCCAATGCATGTTTTGCACTCGTGTTTCTCGTTTGCTAACGTGCAACTCGACAACTAACGACAACTTAGCGATGTTTAGTCTGTATCTCTTATATGCATAAGTATTAGTTTATTGAAAAGTTTAAAAATAGTTTTTCGTTTTGTCTTCTCGTGCTTTTGTGTCAGTTTGTTACTTTTTCTCTGTTTATTTACTCATATGAAAAAATAATTAATTGCTCCATCTTCGCATTGTATGATTGTGCGGCCTTTTTAGGCCGAATACCAACTAGAACTCAACTAGCTAAACATATACCAATCAATGCGTTCAAAGTGTGAACTGAATTAACGCAGATTCCTCTTATATGCCTCTTCCGTCAGTAATTTGATGTATCAAGTGTGCACACTAAATGTTTTGTTAGCAGCCAATTTTCACAAATGTTCCTCGTCGTTGTGGTTGATCTGATTGCTGGCTGTTGGCTGTTGGCTGTTGGCTGTTGGCTGCTGGCTGCTGGCTGCTGGCTGCTGGCTGTTTCAATAAAAACACAAACTACTTGACTATATATCTTTAAGCATCCCGGCACACATACAAAGCATGCATATAACATTTGTAATGCAGTAATGCATTTGTATAATCTTTACAATATTTTAAACGCTCGCTGTGACTGTTAATCTCTATGTAAGTACGTTTTCTTTTATATTGCAGCTTCTTATGATCTGCTTTAATCAGCACAATAGCACGCGCTAGCTTCCTATTGTTAATTCTTTCGCGTTGATATTATGTTTTGTCGCAATGATATTATATTCGAGAGTAAATCTAAAAGTAAAGAAGATAAATGGAAAAAAAATTATAGAAATAATTAATACGATATAAAAGAGTTCTATCAAAGTGTTGTTACCGCTGCAGTAGTTATTATACAACATTCATTCAGGCATGCAAAACAAAATTTATATTACAAATCTCTTCTTATACATTTTCGATGCGATGCTATGTTTGTAATTCGAATTATTGTTGAACTAGCCGCGCGCACTGTGTTACATTTATTCTTGAAGCTTTCATCTATGGAATGCATATATTTTATCTAAATTGCAGACTAATAATTTTCCTTATTGCGTTTCTTGTGTTCTTCGCTCTAAATCGATTAAAAAATAGATTGAAGGCGGGCCAGCGTATTAACACGCCACCCATAAGAACTTTGCCTAAAGGAATGGCAGATAGTTAAATGTAGAAAATAGTTCCTAGTTTTCAAGGAGATATCAAAATTATAAAACTATAAAGACATAAACTGTATAGCAAGCAATACACGAAATCATATCTGAAAGATACGCAAATAAAATTGGAAATAGTTTCCATTCGTATATATATATATATATATATATGCATAATAATAATATATGTACATAAGAATAGACACTGCAAAGGTTGTAAAAGCGAACGCGAAAATATGGTTCAGAGTCTTAAAAAGTTCTATGCCTTATAGTTATGTATATGGAGAAAGTGATGCAGATACTGTAAGTGAAAGCGAATGAATTCGTTCTCTTTTCCGTATTGCTTTTGATCGATTAATAATTTCATTTATTATTTTTTTTCTTTTGCTTTTTTTTTATCATAGTAAGTAATTTATTTCAACAAGTGTCCACTAACGTCAGTGTCGAGATACAACTACGTTCACAGACTCGACCGAACTCTCTTCTATTTGACTTATTGTATGGTATTTGGATTTTTGTGTTCGCCTTCCCTCTGCCACTAAAGCTTGAACTTGATGTTTGATTTATTATTACATATGATTGATTATTGATTATTACAAACTAATAAACAATTATCTCTGGGGCACGAAAATGATGTTAAATATATACGAGGCAAAAAATTGGAAGAATCCTGCAATCATTGTATTTAAACTTTAATGGACTTGACTGACTATTACGTAATTATTTGTGCATATAAGTTATTCGGAAAATGAATGAGATACATACAGGACCGATAGTTAGTTGTACTCTCCGCATAAACTTAGATGTATATATATATATATATGTATATATAATGTGTATCGATAAGTATTATATTTCAATTTGACCGTTTCGTTTTGCGTAGGATATATGGGAAGGGAAAGAGCAAACGACATGGTTAATTTTATTTTGTTGGTTTTAATCGTATGTATTGAGTCCAATAACTATATTCGATTATAACAAGTAAGAATATTATTAGTTTGGGGAAAAAGAAATCCATTATTTTTTCGGTAGATGGCTGCACTGATAGATTTCTCGTAAAGTATCGATCAAACAATTTCCGATACCATACATTTACATACTGTACATTTCGCAGTAAAAAAAATTCTTTTGCTGTTTTTTGTTTGGCGCATTCAGCTATGAGTTACAGCGTGTTAAAAATGGAAGTGAACAAAGAGAAAATTCGGTACATTTTACAGTTTTTCTTTGACAAAGGCGAAAATGCAAGCCAGGCGGCTAAAATTGTGAATGGTGTTTATGGTTCATATAAAAATAATGGATTTCTTTTTCCCCAAACTAATATATTCGGTCGTAATCGAATCGTTTACCGCTATTCTAAAAAAGACAACAAAAAATAAAGGAACTAAATTTTTATGGCCTATATTATGCAGTGAGTGCGGCCGATTTTTTCTATTTTCAAAACAAAAGTTTTTGTCGCATAGCCGTGTGGGCGTCGTAGGCGTGTCATTGAAAAGCTTTAAGTTACTTCCAAATTCTTTTGCAAATTTAAAGGCGACATTTTCATTTTCGCTAACGGGAGAATGTTTACCGCAAATGCTATACTATATATATATATATATATATATTAAGATTGAAACTGGCCATTATGGGATTTTTGAAACTTGTTTTCTTATAAAGGTATTGAAAAAAATAATTAAATTTTGATACACTACAATATTGGGTAGGGGTGGTCAATTTTTTCCGTTAGTATACAGGTCCCATAGTATATGCGTTCAAATTTTTGTGCATTTATTTGCTGTTCTTTATGAGTGTACCGAGTAGAAAACCAATTTTTTATTATTTTTGAAAATCAGAGATGGTGTCAGTTCACCTGTGCTGTGGGTGTATTCTTCGACCGATTGGGCCCTTTCTGAATAGCAATCTGCTTGCAAGAACTTTCAATGTCTCTGCCAAATTTGAAGTCAATACTTTCGTTTTTTGCGGTCAGGAGAATATTTACAGTAAACATTACATAGACGGACAGACGAACGGAATTTGTGGGGTCTTTGATGCTTCCTTCTGGGCCTTGCAGACACTCTTGAACTGAGTGCGTTTTTACTCGACAATAAATTTTTTGCAATATAATTACATATCTCTCCACTGACAAGCCAGACTTAAGACTTAAGGCTTTTATTTTGGCTCGCAGATGGATGTAATTTACACGGATGTCAGTAACACCTTCAAAAAAATTAAAAATAAATTATTGAGTTTTAAACTGTAATCGTCTGGCCTTCTCCCATAATTTAATAATAATTAATTCATTCAATCCCTCGTAATAGACCTTTTAGAATGATTTTTAACTCCTAAGTATTTTGAAAATTTCTAGTTACGTCTGGTGTTTCTGCATGTACCCACTTGGAACCAAATCATGCCCCGTATACGATTGAATCGTCCCATCTCCTTACTTATATTCGGGATCACATTTCAATGTTTTTCAATCAAATTTTGTTAATCTGACTACACGGTACTCAGTCTATTTCTTAACATTGAACTTCAACCAATAAGAAATTTGTATTCGGTCATGAACGAATCTTTTATAACTATCACAGTTACCCTAAAAATGCAAAACAGCTAAATTTTCATAGTCTTCTATGCGGAGTGAGCGTGGCTGATTTTCCCTATTTTCTAATTTAGTTGCAGCATACAATTTAAGTGTACAAGACGAAACACGAACAGGAGTAGGGTAGCGAGTGTACTTTAGTTGTTTTAACTCTTAAAGCATTCCATTATCAAACATGACGATATTCGAAATAAATTTGAGAGTCAAGGCCTGGTGAATATCCAATTTCTAAATAAATATCGCTATACCCAAAAATTTTTCTGGCGATAAATTTCTATTTTTAATGAATAATTCCCATATGTGTGTCTGTTTTTTTCTTCTATTTTTTGCCGAAGCATTACGATGTATTTGATCAAAAAAGACTCTCGGCGTCAAGACCTTCAGAGGTTGGTTTCAGTGAAATTCAAAAACCTGGGTTCGTTTTACGATTCTCTCGTTATGGAGCTATCGTACGATATGATTGCATTATAAAAATAATAAAAAATTTTTAATAAATCGAATTGAAGTTGAATGTTTATTTATTAGGTGCTTGCAAAAATTGTAATCAGCGAAATCTACAGGTAAAAATAATAAAGAAATAGGTAATACCAGTGTACATAACCTTTGAGTTCGATGGTCTTGATCATCCCCTACATAAAAAAATAGTTTTCGATTTAATATTGTTGACTTATTCAGCGTACGCCAACGGTAATCATGGAGCGTTGAAAAATTCTTCTTCTTTCGAATTCATTACTTTTCTCGTTTATTTGAAGAAATCTTTAGCCGAAGCCCATTAAACACGTTCTAGGTTTGCTTGGTTAAGCTGCTTCATCATATCCCAATTGTCGGTTTTGCGGTGCAACGGTTTAAAATTGGCGACACGAATTGCCTGAAAATGTCATTTTTTGGCTACTAGTTGCAAGAGTTGTCCATGATACACTGTTGTAACTCGAATGAGAAGTTCTGGGACATCCAGCGTACTCACCAGAGATGGCATCGCCCTATTACCGCTTGTTCAAGTCGATGCAGTGTGGCTTGGCTGGTATGCGAGTTCGCAAAATTGACGAAGTGCGAAAATGGGCTGGTGGGTGGATCGCTGTCAAACTATGTCTTTCGAAATGATATTTCGTCATATTGACAAAAATGTTGTAGAAAATGATGGAAATAAATTATTTATTAATATATCTTGCATCAATTTTCCACAATAAATGCCTTATACAAGTGAAAAAATAATCAAAATTTTTGCAAGTACCTAGAAATTGGGTAATTTTTCTCTCCCTAAGTATTCAGTACTCTGGCAAACGAGCCGTAAATATCACGTTTGAGGAGTACATATTCATTTATAAGTTTCTAGTAATCGCCCAAAAATTTTTCCATTCATTTCATATTCATTCATTTATCTCTTTTCATTTAATTTATGACATTAAAATAAATAAATATGTACGATGTGCTTATGATATTTTGATCAATTTTTTTGAAATTTCTGCAATTAAGCAGTTCTTAATAAATGCACATACACATTAACTAATTAATTTATCAAATATATTCTTTTTTTTTATTTTATACCGATATTTTACTGTATTTTTCCTTTGAACATGAAGCTAGATAGATAGATAGATAGATAGATAGATAGATAGATATATGCTTTCGATCTAAAATATGACATTTTATGTTCGATATTGAGCAAGTAGTGCTCATACCCATCAATCGAATTCTCGTTAACGACAACCATCTCATCCACAATATGCAAAGTCGGTCGCTTCGTGTTTGCTCGATAATGAGATTCGTTTGTTAACCGGCTTCTGCATAGAATCTCATATATATGTAATACAATATGTATTTGTCAATCGGCATAGCTGATAATATATCTATAAAAGTAATTTAATTCGTAATTATATGCAATATTGGAATAAATCTACGGGTGTGTGTATGTAAGTCTCTTTAAGCACAATAAACAGATAATTTTACCAAACCCAACTGAAATGGGAAGAATGACAAATTCAATAAAAAAAAACTTATAGGACATAATGACTAAAGTGTAATTATTAAAA